CCATCCACAGCCCTGCCAACTGCCCCGGAGCAGCCCTGCTGTTGCAGGGGAGGGGTGAGCCTTTGGGCGTCATCACCGTCCTTCAGCTTCTGCAGCTGCCGGTCTGCAGGAAGCTGTGAGGGGCAGGCGTGCACCCTTCCCTGGGTGGGGAGAGGCTGGAGATGGCCCGGGCAGCTGGCACAGGCTAGTGGGTACCCATACCTCCCCTGCCCGCCATGGAGTACATCCTGTTCGTGCTCTACTTCTCCTTCTTCCTCTGCCTCTGCACCCTTGTGTGCCTGTACTTCTCTGGCTGCCAGGAGATGACATACAAGCACGAAGGTACGCTGCTTGCTGGGGCAGGGCCTCGGGACAGCCTCCTGCTGTGATGAGAAGGGCCTGCGTGGTTCCAGGCAGTTCTGACTGGACTGTTAGGAAGACAAGGAGAGAAAGGAGATTAGATGCTGGGTCCAGCAGAGGAGTGATCCTCTGTGCGTGTGTGTTTGTGTGTGCACGGATGTGTGTGTGTGTCTGTATGTGTGTGGGGTGTGTATGTGGGGGGTGTATGAGTGTATATATATGTTTGTGTGTGTATGTGTATGTACATGTGTGGGTATATGAGTGTGTATATGTGCATACGTGTGTGTATGTATGCATAGATGTGTATGTATGCATATTTGGGTGTGCATATGTGTATGTATGTACATGTGTGCATGTGTACACACATTATATGTGTACATACATGTAAATGTATGCATGTGTGTTTGTGTGCCTTTTAATTCTGTCCCTTTCCACCTGCCAAGTTTCAACCCCTCTGTACTCTCCAGAATGTCTGAAGAAGAAATGCTCTACAGTTGTTTTGGTGAAAATTACATTGGAAAAAACACCTCTGTTTTTTGACACAGGGTCTCATGTAGCTCAGGCTGGCCTTAGGCTTGCTGTGTTTCTGAGGATGGCCTTGAATTTTTGATCTCCTGTTTCCACCTCCTGTGTTCCCTGGGTCATAGGCATGCACCACCACAGCTGGTTTATGTGGTGCTGATGGAGATCAAGCCCGGTTTCATGTATCCTAGATAAGCACCCCACCAACTCAGTTACATCCCCGGTCCCCGAGCTACATTCAAAGTCTGGATTCATTTGTTAAAAGGATGTTGGCCAGACAGATTTGGGTTTTAAAAGTGGGAATCCAGGTGGCTGATACATGCTGATAATTGATGCACCAGGGGTGGTGGGGACCTTTCTGGCCATTTGTCTCACAAGGTGAAACATCTGGACAGGAGATTTAGAACCACAGGACATGGGAGCTTGACCTGGTCCCTCATGTTGGGCATTTCTGTGGAGCCCACTCTGTGCCAAGCACATAGGAAGCAACTCCTGGTAACTGTCCCCTGCCCTCAGGGAAGCAGGTGTGGCCACCTCCTGTGTGCTTGGAGGAAGCAGCAGAGGCTAAGTCGCATCATGTTCAAAGGGGACAGCCACTGTGTTCACTTTAAACACAGACGCAGCCTTTTCTATTTTGTGTTGTGTTAATGAAGCCATACCCCAAGCAGATCATCATCACTCAGAAAAATAAGCCCGCCAGGCATGGTGACACACACCTATAATCTCACCATTTGGAAGGTGGAGGCAGGAGGGTCAGGAGTTCAAGGTCAGCCTCAGCCTCATATTGATTTTTGAAGCTAACCTGGACTCCGTGAAGCATTGTCTCAAAAAAAGAAAGAAAGAAAAATTGAAAAGAGCCTAGAAAGGAGACAGACTGACCTGCCCATGTTTCCTGAAAGCCAGGGGTCAGGGCACCAGAGCCCAGTGGACTGCTGGCTGTGGTGAAGTGTGTGGACTGTGCGTAGTCATAGGCTTGCCTCAGAGTAGCAGGATTGCAGTGAACCGTCTGCTTGAATTGGCCCTCCACCCCGAGTGCCTGCTGACTCCCCTTGGGGAAGCATGGTTCTCTGCAGCCCAGGTCTCAGATCAGGTTTACTGTGGAACTCTACTGGGCCTGGCGCTGGGCTGTTCACAAGGGCAGCTCTGCTTCCAACAGTTGGCAGCGTCACTAGTTAAAGCCTTGTGATTAGGCTCTGCCTTTGAATACTTAATGAGCAGCCACACAGGGCTTTAAAAACAGATCTGCCTATATGCCCTAGATAATTGAGCAGGGTCATTAGCCCCAGGACCCTTCACAGTGCTGATGGTGGATGGTGACAGCCTGATCTTAGCAAGTGTGCCATTTCAGAATGCTTCTGGGCCCCATTGGTGGGTGGAGGGGCTGGGCCCTCACTGCATCATGCCACCTAGTGGCACAGCCAACACAGAGATCTGTCCCTAGAGGTGGGCACTTAGCAGTGTTTATGAAAAGTAAGAGCAGCCTAGGAAAACATTACTGTGGAGCTTGGGGCAGCTGTGAACTGGGAGCCTAGGAGCTTCTCTGTAGGTGTTACTCAGGGGGTGGGGCTTCCTATCGGAGGGGAGGGGAGGATGTGTCCCCACATCCCAGGAACTGAAGCCCCTTGCACTGGTTGGAGCCTTACCAGGCCTTACCATCCCACCTGCCCACTGTCCCAGGTGGGTGTGGAGGCAGGTGGCTGCCCGTCAAGGTCACCTGCAAACCCTCAAACCATTTGAAGATAAGCAGACTCTCTTGGTTAAGTTCATTAACAAAGATATGCTTTGAATTCTTGAATTCTAGTGCAGGGAGGTAAGTCATATGTAAGTAAATAAATGGGTCTCATGGTAGATGGTGAGTGTTGGGGGTGAAAACAAACAGGAGGGAGGGCAGAGGCTGATTAGGGGAGGTGACAGGACACAGATCGAGTGGGCCGGGGGCCTTTCTGACTTGGTTATGCTAGTGCAGAGCCCTAAGGTGAGGAACAGGGAGAGCCATGTAGACTCTGGGAGAAGTGTCTCAGCAATGCAAAGGCCCTGTGGTAGGTTGTGTGTAAGGTATAGGAGCATGTGGAAGAAAGACAGGCAAGATGGATCATGCAGGGCCTTACGGACCACACCTACTCTGGGGTGGACATTAGCTTTGCTCAGAAATGCTAGAGCACCACCCAGGATTCTGGGCACAGGAACAATGTGATGTTCCTTTGATTTCAGAGGTCAGTCTGGCCACTAGGTTGAGGGACAAGGGCAGGGAAGAGCAGGAGACTGTGGGCAGGTGGTCTTAATGTAACTGACCCAAGTTTGGTAGCATTAATAGTTCCGCTGAGAGATGAAGGTGGAGAATCAAGATGGAGGCGTTGGTTGGTGGTGCAGAGGGTGCTGGAAGTGGAGACAAAAGGGGGGCGCTTCTCAGGAGGGGCTGGACCCCAAGTCTGAGGCTTGAACAACTAGAAGGTGTGGACTTGGGACTGGAGAGATAGCTCCATAGTTAAGACTAGCTATTCTTCCAGAGGGCCTGGGTTTGGTTCCTAGCACCCACGTGGCAGCTAACAACTATCTGTAACTTCATGGGAATTAGATGCCATCTTTGGGCTCCACAGGCATTGCATGACATGGGTACACTTTCATACATGCAGGCAAAACAGTCATACACACAAAATAGAAATAAATAAATCACAAAAAATTGAAAGGTGTGGTCTGCCGAGGAGTAAGTTTGGGATGCCAAGTCGGCCATCTTCCAGGACCCATGAGCTGTCAAGGGCATGACCGACATGGGTCTGGAGTTCAGGCAACAGGTACCTGCCCCATGTAGGTTAAAATCAAGAATCAGATGCAAAGTGAAGGCAGCGTGGGGAAGAAAAGCACTGTGGCAAGAGCATTCTGGGTGAGAAGTGATGGCAGGTGCGTGCAGAGCCTCTGTAGGAACCTGACTGCACACAGTGACAGACAAGTCCCTCTCAGCCAGTCCCTTCCCTCAGCGTGTGAGTTACCTCCTAAGGGCATTCTCATTGGCTTTGACCCACAAGGTGGGAGACGCCCCTGGGTGTAGGTGCACTCTGCCCCCTCCATGGCCAGGAAGGGGCGGGGATCTGTGAACTCCTGAGGACCTGAGCTGGCCACGGCATCATGGGAAGCACTCATTGATCACAGAGACGAGGTTTCTTGCAGTGGCTATTTGGGAAGAGAATAGAGAGCAGTATTTTTAGACAGGAACAGGGATCTGTCTGGTGATTGCTGGTTGATAGCTGCAGCCCCCAGGGTCAGGAGCACTCCCTGGCAGGGATCCCACCTGGTTTTGATCATGCGTCTCCAAGCTTGACCTCATGTCTGGCCCGCAGAAGCTCTTCAGCCAGTATTCAGTTTGTGAGCGAACGGACAAATGAGTGACCGAATGACTGAATCAGGCCCCGTGGCCCGTGCGGTCTGCATGAAGAGGTGCAGGCAGCCTTTGGGAAGCTGGCACATAGGACATGAAAATCTCCAGTCTGAGGAACGAGTGCAGGGCCATTTCTCCCAATTTTGTCAGTGTTCTGAGTTTAACTGTCATAAAACAAAACAAAACAAGACTGAGGAAAATTGCCTTTATGCAGCCCTAGGGAGGACATGGGCCGTACAACTGCTCCTCTGGCTCAGCCCAGGGATCAGCGCTCGGCACCTCCTGACCACATGGCCCACTCCTGGCACCCATACGTAGCAGCTCCTTCTCTGTGGAGCAGACACACAAGCACACAGCCTGTAGAGTGCTCTGGGTACCAGCACTCGGTTGGCACAGGGTGAGCATGGCCCCGTTCATGCTGGGGGGGGGCAGCTTGTCCATTGCTAAGAGTGAGCTAGAACTCAGGGAACCCTATTCTTATGTGAGACCAATTGAGGAGCTACATAGCTTTCTCTGCCTGTGACACTTCTACCATTTGTCTTACAAAGCCCACCAGCTGTGTCTTCAGCTGCCCACAAGGGGGCAGTACCTCCTCTACCCTGAGTCAGCTGTGGATGGGGTAGAGTTCCTCTGTCCTGGGCTGGCCATGGGTGGAACTTCAGTTCCACTAACGGATGGGACATCGGCTCCTTTCTGCCCTGAGCTGGCCGTGGTGGGAAGCTGCCCTCTTCCTCTGTCACCGACGCCATGCCATTGACTCTTACAGAAGCATGTTGTGGAGACATTTTTTGGATTTGACGAGGAGTCTGTGGACTCAGAAACTTTGTCGGAGACGTCCTACAACACAGACAGGACGGATCGGACCCCAGCCACACCTGAAGAGGACTTAGATGACGTAAGCAAACAGCAGCCTGACAGGGGCTCCCCCCTTTGTGCTGACCAGGGCTGCGCCCTCGACAGCGGTCAAAACCAGATGGCCATCCTGCCTTGCTTTATTAGAGCCCTGAAGCAAGGGAAGATGGTCTTTGCTCTCAGGAGTGGACCCTCAAGTGCCTTCCCCAGGGCTCGTCTCTTCAGAGAACCTTGCTAAGGTTGTGCCCAGCCACTGATGGTGGAGCTCACCACTGCAGTTATAATGCCATGTGGCCTGTCTCTGGCCCCTCACACACATGTATGCACATAGCACAAGCACAGTAAGGCAGCACCGTGGCCTTCTCACAGTGCAAACGAAGCTTCGTTGTAGGAGAAAACCCCAAGGACCCTGGCAGGTGAGGGTCAGAAATAAACCACCAAAGTCATATCACCCTCCCTGATCCTCTGCAGCCTCCCCTGCCCTCCAATGTGTAGAGAAGGAGCCATGTTCCCAAGGACACAATGCACTGGCACTGTCTCCTGCTCAGCTCCTGCAGCCGAGCTCCCTCAGGAGGGCTGCGTAATGAGGCAGGAATGGCCACATCTGGTAACTTACCTAAATTCCTAATGGCGTGTAGCGCAGGCCTTCCCCTGGCTGCTGTAGCCCACACCAAGCTCCACTGTTTGCTTTCTCTGTGACTTTCTTCTGAGTCTGGGCAACAACCTGGCTGAGAAGGGTGTTGACTGATGTCAGGGCCAGCTGGCCTCAAGGTGATACCCTCTGGCTAGGGCAGGTGCCGCTGCTGCTTCTGGTGGAGGGAAGCCAGGATAGGACCACATGTGTCCCATACGTCATGCCAGGAAGGCTCTCTGCAGCTGGCTGGCCAGGCCTAGCCACTTCTTTTTCTGCATGCCCATGCCTCAGGGCTCTGTGGCTGGAACCTTTTCACACTTCTGTTGGCCTTTTCTGTGGAGTCTCATCTGGCATGGCTTCAGGCCCTTCAGGAAGATGCGGCTTCCTCCCTGTCAGCCCATGGGCCTCAGCCTCAGCTGGCTCAGCCTTAGTTGGCTATCCTGGAGGTCTCTGAGATACCCAGGCTGGAGATACCACAGTCCAACCCATGTCCTTCCTCAAGGTCTAGACAAGGTTTTGTCCCAGCATTAGGTCTGGTTTTTAAAACCCGTCATGTTAACTGTGACAGGATCAGCCAGACTGGCTGATGTGGACATCATGTGTTCAGTGTCTGACTTGCCAAATCCATGGTGTGACCCTACACCAGCCTGTCATGACCATACGAGGGCTTCTCCATGGACACACATCCCACATGTGCAAGATGCTGTTCTCTATCTGCCTGGTCACACGCTGTGTCTGTCTCCTGAGTAGAAACTTCCAGAAGGGGTCATGCTCTCTCCCTATGGAGTCTGGCTGGCTCTGAGGTGCCCTTTCCACTTCCAACCTGCTCCAGTGTAACTCGGTGGTTCTCAGGAGGCCAGCAAGTGCCCAGGCAGGGTGCTGACGTGGAGAAGGCATTTTCTCACAGCAGCCTTCACTCAGGGTCCTGATCACTTCCTGGATTGCCCCCTGCACTAGGTGCTTGTAGGCACTAGAGAAAGATGTGGACATTGCTTCTGTCTGTCATGACTCTGTCAGTCAAAGCCACATTAAGTCATGCGTTGACTGTTGGTTTTTTTCTGTTACATTAAGACCACAACCAGAGAAGAGGCTGACCTGAGGTTCTGTCAACTGACCAGGGAGTACCAGGCCCTGCAGCGGGCCTATGCTCTGCTTCAGGAGCAGGTGGGGGGGACTCTGGATGCCGAGAGGGAGGCCCGGGTAAGTGTGTCGCCTTGTTGGTGGGGAGGGGCAGAGGCTGAGGCACAGGGGCCCTGGAGTCTTGAGCTGACGGAGGTGGCCCTACTCCCTGCACGTCTTGTCTGCAATTCAGTTGCAAAGGAGAATGTTTTCAGACTTTATGGGAGTGGGCCAGCCAGAGGACCCAGCAGGTGAGGATAGTTGCTGCCAAGATGAAGACCTGGGTTCCATCCCTAGAACCCACATGGTAGAGGGAGAGAACTGCCTCTCACAAGTTGTCCTATGACCTCTTCATATGGACACACACACCCACACACAGACGCACACACACAATAATAAAATAAAAGAGAATTGAAGGGGTGAGGTAGTCACAGACTCAGCCAGCCTTCCAGGGTCCATCCTTCTCGCTGCAAAGCCCAGGCTCCCCTAGAATGACCCCAAGAAATACTTGCAGAGACTCTCAGAGTTCCCAGGCACAGGCACTGAAGAGCCCCCATACACGCTGTACCCCCCAGTGCTGGATGAGCTTTTCCTGAAACCTCTCTCACTGGCCCTTCTCCTACTTTGGAGCTAAAACCAGATTTGTATCTCCTTCTGGGAGTGCAGGAGACACTCAGAGGACACATGGGGACAGTGCTGTCCCAGCCCTCCCCCCCCCCCCCCCCCCCCCCCCGCCGCATCTCTTTTCCATCGTGACCTATGAGCCAGGTGGAATCGGGCCCATTTCTTGAAGAAGAAAACCAAAGCTCGGGGAACAGACACATACCTGAGGTGCCAGGCAGCCCTGACAGTGCGGGCTGCTGTGGCTCAGAATGCTCCGGAAACTGTCTTGGGAGCCCCATGTGGGGCGGGCTTGGGGATCCTAAAGGGACACATGCTAGTGTGGATTGCAGATCTCAGGACACTGGCAGGTACAGACAAGAGCCTCCACTCAGAGAAGGCTTGGCTCTCAGGGCACAGGGTGGGCTCAGTGGGGTGAGCAGGAATGTGGGGAACAAGATCCCTGGGGAATCTGGCCACTCCTGACACACAGAGGACCAGTCTTTCTCCTCTGTGTCATAGCAGGTAAACTACTTTTTTTTAAAAAAATATTTATTCTTTTTATTTTATGTGTATGAGTGTATTGCCTGCATGTCTGTGAGTGCACCCATATCGTGCAATGCTGTGGAGGTCAGAAGAGGGCTTCAGATTCCCCTGGAACTGGGGTTAAGGATGGTTTGTAGCTGCCATGTGGGTGCTGGAAATCAAACCCAGGTCCTCTACAAGAGCAGTCAGTGCCCTTAACCACTGAGCCATCTCTCCAGCCCCAACTACTACTGGGTTTTATTTGGACTGAATTGATTTTTAACACCATCTACTTGCCCAGTCAGTCAACAAAATGCGAATTCCTGGTGGGGTGTGGTCTCACATACCTGTACTCCCAGTACTGGGAGGCTGAGGCAGAAGGAGGATCACCTTGGGTTGGAGGCTAACCTAGGCTATATAGGGAGTTCTAGGCCAGCCTGAGCTATAGAGTGAGACTCTGTTTCAGATTTGAAAGGAAATAGGAAGGAAGGAAGGGAGGGAGGGAGAGGGAGAAACAGAGGGAAAGAAAGACAAAAGAAAAAGTAGATTTTCAGGATAACACTGAACTCCTGCCTCTGTCTCCCAAGGGCCTAGATTACAGATGTGCACCACCACACCTAGCTCCAGATTCATCTGGAAAATGAATCAGTTGTGTGGCTCCCCATTCCCTGAGGCAGCACATTGCTGCAGCTGAGTAGCTGTATGTTTCTGGGGTGGGACATGTGCCTGTCCTTTGCTACAGTCCCCACCATGCCCTCTCACCATATGGTTAGCTGATCGGTGACTTCCCGTATGTATGTGACTTGCCTGGTCCGTGAGGTGTGTTGGGTTTCAGTCCTTGCTGTGGGTGACAGCGGGCCCCGTCAGGCCAGTAAGCAAATAGAACCACCGTCAACAGCTAGGTGATTGCTGAATGAGAAAGCACTGACCTTGGTCGGAGCTGGCCTTGGGACTCTGAGGCATCCAGCTTCCTTCCAGCTTGCTCACCCAAGAGAGGTTTACTCTTCCTCCGACCTGCCCTTTGATGGTCTGTCACTGTGAGTTAGAGCTGGCTTCTCTCATCACCTGTCAGTTCACACTTCGTCGTGCAGCTGTAGGTGGACCTCAGTGCTCCAGGAGAGGGGGCGGGAACACATGCTCCTCCTCTGGGCCCTCCCCTGGGCCCTGTGGCCCCCAGGCACTGTTTGGAGACAGAACCTGCATTTGTCCCCTGCAGGTGACTTTCTAACTTCTTGGTCTTTTTCCTTCCAGACCCGGGAGCAGCTGCAGGCTGACCTTCTGAGGTGCCAGGCCAAAATCGAAGACTTGGAGAAGCTGCTGGTGGAGAAGGGCCAGGTGAGCAGGACCGCCATGCGTTCTGTCCCCTTGCTGTCCCCGGAGGCCCTGTGGTGCCCTCGATATGGGGAGCAGGAGGCTCTGTGGAGTTGTCAGGAGCCCCAGGCGTGTGAGGGAAGAATTACTATGAACCCAGTGAGAATGTGTTGCCAACGTCAGTCAGAGCATGACTAGAAAGGCTAACTGTTGTTTTTGTTTATTCAACAAGCTCATGGGCACAGGACGTGATTCCTAAAGCAGAGGCTGGAAACTCTTTTGACTGGAGCCCACAGAACAGCTTCTGTTTTCTGTCAGAAATTTAGTAGTATGTGGATAACTGAGTTGTGGAGATCAAGTGGCAGGTGCCATAGCAGAAGGCGCATGCTGTGATTGTGTCAGAAGAGAGTCTGGATTGGTCCCCTTTGGGAACCCACTCTGATTTGATTAGGCCAGGCCTGGTGGACAGGGGCACAGAGAGGCAACCCTAGGCATTCCCTGCTGCTGCCCACTGTGGACAGAGGACTGTCTACTTTGCATGGTTCCTCAGGGACCCAGTGATAGAGGCACCATCTTGGAATAGCTCTGCCTAGAGCTCATTTCCCAGTCACATGGCTCCACTGGCTTGCAGAGTGCCCAGGGATGTACAAGGGCACGGGATGTCTGATAGTGCCCCTGCTCCTGCCTTCAAGGGGGGAGGGCTGGTGAGAAGAGGGGAGGTCTGGGCATCGTTGGGAGTTGGGGAGACCGGTGTGACAGGAAGGGACTTCCAGAGGTTCCAGGAGTCTGGGCTCAGGAAAGATCTTGGGGAGAGTGTTGGCTACAGAGCCAGTGGCTTAGTGCCAGCTCTGACTGACCTCACCCCCAGGTGGGAGGGGCAGGTCTGTGGATGAGAGAAGCGTTCCAGTGAACCGAGTTCACCTCGGCCCCCGGCAGCTCACTGTCTTCATGAAGGACCAATTGAGGGGAGTGTGGACACCAGACCCCCAGGAGTGGGCTCTGGGAGTTGTGGCCTTGCTCTTTCCCAAGAGGTAGCACAGTGGCGCAGAGCTGGCTCCGCCACTCCCTTGTGTGACCTTGGACATGCTGCGTCATCCCCAAGCCTCAGTTCTATAAAATGAGAAACTGGGAGACTCAGAAGTAGTTGGGCAGAAAGCTGGTGAGAGGTGATGAGGTTTCCGCAAACTCCTAACCTGCCACAGGCCTCGGTTCCCTCTTCCAGGCTGAGTTCATGCATTTGTGACTTGCCTAGTCACAGGCTGTGACTTAGCCTCCCACCCTCCAGCATTAGATCCTGTGTGTGTAGACAAACTGCCCCCAAAGCCTGCTGAAAGAAGGGGATGGCTTGGGATGAAACAAACTGTGAATCAGTTAACAAGCATTTACTGGAGCCTTTGCCCTACACTTTTGCTTGGTGTATAGGAAAATTTATCAATTAACTACTCATATATCACAAACCCCTCAAAAACTTAAGTTGCTTAAAACAGCAGAGGTTCGATTTGCTCACAGATCTGTGGGTTAGCACCTTGGCAGGGCTCTGCTAGCTTGCTGTTCTGTTGGTCTCCCTTGGGGTCATTCCGAGGTCATTCAGTGGTCAGGTGGCTTTAGGTGAGGTCAGAAGGCCTTAAATGACCTAACTTTCCTGCCTGGATATTGGTGCCAGTTGTGGTCTGGTCACCCTTCCTCAAGGAATTAGTCTGGCTTCTTTACTTGGTAGTCAGTCTTGGGTGGGGAGCCTCCTTCTCTTAACCACTCCAAAAGCCATCAGGCCTCTGTTCACATCACACTTGCTAATGTTTGACTAGTCAACGCATGTCACAACCAAGCAAAGTTTCAGTTGGAGAAACAGACCCCTCCGTTTTTGGAAGCTGCGCAGAGCCACGTTGTAGAGTTGTGCACTTGGCCATATTACAGGCATCCGTGTGAACACTGCCACAGATAAGAAGATGGGCACACAGAGCTGTTCTCCCTGCTTGAGCCTGCATGCAGGTCTGTGTGGCAGAGATGTGGGGTGTTAGGTGTTAGGTGGAAGGAAGCCAGGATATGACCACATGCACAGCTTTGGGGTCAGACCCTAGGCCAGCTTTGACTTATAAACACTGGAATTTTAGCACTGGTGAGCCTGGCCTGGCCCCTGCAGAAGGGGGATCTTGACCCAGTCTTAGCTCAGGAGCTGCACAGGGAGAGGAGAGAGGAGAATTAGAGAAGGTGCCTGTGTTTCCTGTATCCTTCTGTCTCTAGCCAGACACTAATGAGTGAGCACCACCATGTGGCTCTGGCCTGGTTGTGGGGATGTCACGGTGTCTGGACAGAGGCTGTGCTGGGTGCTGACAGACGGCACATGAGTACCAGCAGCGAGGGAGGCAGGTTTAGTTTGCTCTGTCGCTGTGATAAAACATAGACCAAAACCAACCTGGGGAGAAGAAAAGATTTACTCCATTTTACACATTACAGTCCATCTTCAAGGGAAGATAAGGCAGGAGCTCAGAGCAGGACCCCCGAGGTAGGAACTGTTGCAGACCATGGAGGAGCGCTGCCTGCTGGCTTGTTTCCCCTGTCTGCTCTTATACAGCTCAGCCTGTACTTGCCCTGCCCTCACTGCACCACCACCACTTACCCAGGATGGCTCTGCCCACAGTGGGCCGGGCCCTCCTATATCTGTTAATAAGAAAATGCCCCATAGACATGCCTACAAGTCAGTCTGATGGAGAAAAGTCCTTAATTGAGGTTCCCTCGTCCCAGGTTTCTCTAGTTTGTGTGAAGTTGATAAAAGCTAACCAGCATGCGCACAGTCCTTTAGCGTGCTGGCTCAGCCATCCTGAGGTGCCCATTAAATGACTCAGGAAGCTTCAGCCTGTGGGGAGTGAAGGAAGAGGATGCCTCAGAAGCTGTTGCTGTTTCCTGGGTGTAAAGGTTGAGAGGGACCATGGGGTCACACACATGACCTTTTCCTCCCTGGGACTTGGTGGCTCAGTGAATAAACATCCTGTGTTTCCTGCAGGATGCTGCATGGGTGGAGGAGAAGCAGGTGCTTATGAGGACCAACCAGGGCCTACTTGAGAAGGTACGTTCAGGCTCAGGGCTTCGGGTTCTGGGCTGCAGGCCTGGTCATGAGCCTGATGGCAGAGGCAGCCAACCTGCTCCAAGCCCTCAGCACACAGCAAAGATGAGAGCACCATAGCCTGGGGGCCCTCACAGGATAGGTGCCTTCCTCACCTGAGTCATGGCTGGACTCCTGGGTCTGTCCTCTGGGACAGGTCTCAGAGCCAGATCTGCAGGGATGCCTGCAGAAGGGGAAGGCAGCTCTCCTCCAAGCATTGGGCCTCCTGGCCACATCTGCTACTGAGCTGAGGTCCAGAGCTTTCCCTGTCTCTCATAGAGGCACCTCCATAGGCCTTCAGACCTCCTCAGTAGGGTCTTATACCTGGAGCTGGTACTCCCTACTCTCTAATTGCAGGCCACTCCTTAGCTCCAAGGGAATCCCCATCTGAGTATACTTTGGGGTTGAGACTAGCTTTGTTCTCCTTGGGGGTACAATTCAGTTATTTTTAAAGTAAGTTACACATAGTGCTACTATAACCTCAGGGCACTTTTTGAAGTTTCAGCCCTTGGCCTATTTATAGTCATTCCCCATTCCCTGTCCCCTTCCCCGTCTGCTTTGTGGTGAGTAGGCTTCCTTTCTCTACACACTATATATCATCAGAGGAAGCCTATTAGGCCTTCAGCATCCTGAAATCCTAGGCCTGCACCAGCCTGGCCCTCCCTTTTGGGAGGCGCCTGGGTCAGGCCCAGCTCTACTGTATGGCCTGCTGTGGCCTCACCTTCCTCTAGACACCGAAGTGTGGCCGGGTTCTGTTGTCTGAGAGCCCTGAATGTTCCAAAGTCCACAAACCACCCAGGAAACTCTCAGTTCCCAGTGTCCCCTGGGCTTGGAACCACCGGGAGACAACCCTTCTTCGGTACTCTTTCTGACAGAAGGAGGGGAAATAAGGTCCAGCCTGCCCTCACCTACGTGTATTGTCTAGGTGGGCCCTCGCTGCCACCAGTGGGCATTGCTCTTACCCTCCTTGGGCAGAAACTGAGGGTCAGAACAGTTCTGACACGAATCTCCAGGGCCCCTGGGCCTGAGACGAAGCAGTTTTGCTTCCTGGGATGATCTGTGCTTCTGGGGTGTTTGAGGTACTCAACAGCTGTGCAGGTAATGACAGCCCCACAGCAGCCCATGGTCCCACCCATAGCCAGTCTTTGGGGCCTGGCTTGGAAAGGCCTGGAGGCCTCTGGGAAATAAAGCACCCTGTTACAGCTTGCTTCCCTCAAACTGACCTCAAGGGAGGGACTCAATAATCTAAGCCTCAGTTTCCCCATCGTTTGTTTATTAGCAAAAATATAAGGAGCTTGTATTCTCTTGGACCAGACTTGGTGCTACAGGGTGAGCCCCACCCAACAGCTCGGTCTCGATCCCAGGGTCATCAGCAAAAGGGCCTGTGGTCTTCCCTTCCTGTGACTGGTTCTCTGCCTGCCTCAGGTCATCTGTAGAAGTGGCTCCCAGTCAGGGGGTCCCATGGGGCCTGATGGCAGCCTCCGCAGCCCTTAATGCAAAGGTGTCTTTACCCCAGATTTACAGGCTGGAAATGGAGGAGAACCAGCTGAAGAGCGAGATGCAAGACGCCAAGGACCAGAACGAGCTGTTAGAATTCAGAGTGCTAGAGCTGGAAGTAAGAGACTCTCTCTGTTGTAAGCTCTCCAATGGAGCAGACATTCTCTTTGATCCCAAACTGAAATTCGTGTAAAGCTCCCTGCCGTTTCCAAGCATGTGTCAAGGGACGTGTACTGTGTCTCTCCTTCCTTCCCCTTTCTCTTCCTCCTCCTCCTCCTCCTCCTCCTCCTCCTCTTCCTCCTCCTCTTCTTCTTTTAAATCTGTATGTTCAGAATAATTTCACTGCCTTAACGTGTTCTGGGGAGGGTGCTCGCGAAGTCTGTAGACCTGTACCAGAGCTATTATATTTATTGCCTACGGCTTGTTTTGCACTTAATAAAATAATTTGTTTTTGCACTATTTTGCCTTTTTTATTTGTGTTTCACTTCCATGACTACTCTCCTGCATGCACAGTCACCAGGTGTGCCTTCTGTGGCCCCGACAGCAGCACTGTTGTGATTGATAACACACCTTCCCCCAGGGATTTTGCATGCAGCAGGCCTCACCATGAGATAGCAGGGTCTGACCCAGCCAGCTCTTGACCCCTCTGTATTTAACAGCAGGGTGGGCCCAATTTCTGTCCGCCAAAGCAAACACAAGGTAAGTGGAGGCAGGCAGGAGGACGTATTTACATAGCTGGTTAGGTGAGCTAATCACATTACTCAAACCCTTCTATCCAGTAAATACAGACCTGGGCACTGCAACAATTTGAACTAAAAAAATGATTTGTAATTCAAACTGCACCTCAAAACTGGATGCTGGCCGTGTCTAGAAGCCGTGTTCCTCTGGGAGCACCACAGGGCACCAAGTGGGACTCTTCGCTGCTTCCGGCCGAAATCCTGCCAGGGTGTGTTACTGTGTTGCTTTGCTCTGTCCGCCCTTCATCCTCCCTTTCTGTTTCTGTTTAAAGTCACCAGCATCTAAACAGCCTTGCTTTTGTGAGCAGTCTCGTGAGCTCTGTGACAGCTCTGCTCCTCCCGCTGACACCTTTGCATGTGCGACTTCTTTCCATCCCACTGAACGCCTTTGCTTGTCTGTGGTTTCTCTGGCTTCCCCCTCCTCCTGCTTAGTGGAAGCTCTGTCTGTGTAAGAATGTCCCACCCAGGCCTTGTCAAGCGGCCAGGGATGGGCTGAGTGGCTTTTACCACCATGCGCCACCGCATCCCACGGCTCTGACTTGACAGTGCTTTATTCTTTCAACAGAAGCTGGAAGTCGAGTGAGGTCCTGGCTAGCACTTCACCATCATTAGAACCCCTCCCACAAACCCCCCTTATGAACCTTCCCTGTGAGAATTCCATAAATACCACTTGGTTTACTAGAGTTTTCCAACTGCCTTCAGAATCACTATAAGAATGACTTTTTTTCATATAAACTAGGAGCTGTTCGGATTCCCTGTTCTATGGAAACCCTACCGAATAAGCACCTCTGGTGGCAGGCATGTGTGGATGAACCACTGTGAATCGTGTTCTTAGCTCACAAACTGGTATACACCTGAGTTAGCCAGTGAGGACTTCCTGGGAACTCACTGAACAGTTCTGCTGCCTCCCTCGGGCCTCACCCAGGGTGCCCCGGCTGCTTTCTAAGCCTGCACCATCTCAGTTACTTAGTTGGGTTATGGAAGGTGCCTGTTCTGTAGCTAGATTCTGCTGGAGTGGCTCACAAAGCTATTGTTGTCCTACCTAACTTTTAGTCCCATCCTGGCAGCTTGATCTGAGGCAGAATTTGAGAGTGTTCTGTGCCGGCCTGTCATGACAGCTGCCAGTATCATGGCTTTAAAGTCAGCTCTTTATAGGAAATGCGCTGGAGGCCAGAGTTCTGTTGGCCAACACACTTTAGTCCTACTAAGCAAGAGGCACTTTCGGGCCTTTTGTAAATTGCTTACTTGGTGTGTGGGTAATGGACACCTTTTCGGGGAAAACTTCTTTTGTGACCTACATTAGATGGAAAATCTACGATGGGAGTAGAATGACCAGGGATGGTGTTAGTTTGGTTCAGTAAAACCCTTTGAGTTGAGCAACATATTATTGTGGAAAGCTAGCAAAAGCAGAGGCTGCGCCTGGCCCTGCTGCTCAGCAGTAGGGGACCTTGAACTCAGTGTTCCCAGGCCTCCTTGGACGTGGTGTCTTGTGAGGGGGCCTGGGCATCAGACATGCAGCTCAGAGTAACCCACGGTGGCTGCTGGCTTCTGTTGTCCATTGTAGCTGAAAGTACCTGTGATCAAATTCTGTCTCCTGTGACTTCCGGGGTTCTGGTTGCAGCAGGTTGTCCTGTGAGGCCCCATACCTATCTCTCCCTAGTAGAGTAGGTGAATCCTGAAGTATGTGAGGAGGCACCAGCCGTGGAAAGAGTGACAACATTTTGTGTCCTTGATGAGGCCTGTGTGGTCTGAGTGGGCACTGTGTAGTTCCGCCTTTGCCAGCTAGAATGTGTTTTTTTTCTGATAACGTGGGAAAATGGCAGGTGGTGATTATCACAGTCAAGTTCTGTCTTTAAACCACATCTTTTCCCCAGGAGAGAGAACGGAGGTCGCCAGCCTTTAACCTCCAAATCACCACCTTCCCTGAGAACAACAGCAGCGCTCTCCAACTGTTCTGTCACCAGGAAGGAGTTAAGGTAGCGTGTGCTTGGGGGGAGGTCCAGTGGACCTGCCAGCCTGGGGCAGGCTGAGCACCTGGCAAGGTGGTTAAGGGGGATTCTCCTTGGGCCAGGGACAGAGCAGATTGTGATAATGTAGCCCTGGGCTTCTGCTCTGTGTTGAAAGACACATAGAGCTCATTTGAAGGGTTGCCAAGTTTTACCCTGTGCTCCTTAACAGCAGCACAACCTTGTGCTGGAGGCAGAGGACAAACCAGTCTAGCCACTGTCTGGCTCTTTCTAGAATCTTTCTGAGCCTTGGTCTCTTGGCTATGAAGTCTGAATGGCAGTACCTTCCCCACCCACCCCCCATGGGAAGCTAGACTGAACGTGAATTAGGTAACTAAGAGATGCAGAGTGCTTTGCTTAATGTCCAGCCCATAGCATGGGCTTTGCCAATGGTGGCTATGGTTGGCCCGAGGCCTAGATCCTTGCTAGACCCATAGGCAGAGTCCTTCAGGCCCCCATGATACTGTGAGCTAGAAAGCAGGTTTGTGCTGGTGTAAATCTCAGCTAATGAGCTGCAGCTACGCCCTCCCCACTTGCCCCCTGGAAGGCAGAACCAGGAGTGGAGGTAGGAGCAAGCTTGTGAGCCATGGTGCTAGGACTTGGTATGGATCATCTCTGCATCTCACATGAGAATGAACGTTGGAAATCTTTTCCAGGATGTGAATATTTCTGAACTTATGAAGAAGTTAGATATCCTTGGCGATAATGGGGTAACTATGAGCGATCGGTTTCTGGTTTTGTGTTCTCATTTTGATCTGGGTGTATTCTGTGTGACATTGTTTTGTTTTTAATTTCTCTTTAATTTAAGAGATCTAAGAAATACAATGTAAGGCTTTTGTATGGCCATGTACCCCCGTGGGTGGTTGGGTCTGCATTGTCAGAGAGGAGTTCTGAAGTGAGGTCATCCTTACAGCCTGTGGGTGACCAGGGGCCCAGCAAACCTAAAAACTAATACCCAAAAAGAAGGTTCAACTGTTGAAGATTCCTGAAGTCACAGGGTGATATTTTTGCTTTCCTAAAAGACTGGCTTGAACGAGGCCCTATTCCCCAAATCCTTAGTGCCACTCTGTGAAATGTCCCCATCCAGAGGGACCAGGCCCATCTCTAAGTGAATACTGGCCCCTGCTCGCCCCCGTTAGTGAGTGGGGGCTTGTACTTGGGATCGCCCCACAGGAGCTTGGTGCTGTCTGCCCATGGCCTGGGGATCCAGTGTCAAATGCCCTTGCCCGTTTTTTCTGTGTGTTTTAGAATTTGAGGAATGAAGAACAGGTTGCAATAATCCAAGCTGGAACTGTGCTTGCCCTGTGTGAAAAGGTAGACCCAGAACTATTTCTGTGCTCACATCTTGTCCTGGCACACAGCACCATACAAGAAACTGTACATTGGTGTGTCACTTTCTTTGGGTGCATGTGTGTGTGTGTGTGTGTCGGTCTGAGTCTGCATGTACATGTGCATGTCTTTGCGTGTTCAGATGGAACATCACACATGCTCGCTTCAGAAAGTCTCAAAACCCAGGAGGAAATGACGCCCCCCACACAAAGAAGAAATAAGCTGTGATACTTGGCTTATCTCCTCCTAATTTTTCCAATGTCCATTCTCCTTGGCTTAGTTACCATCCAATTTTCCTCTCCTGCTTTCTAGGTCATTTAAAGTGGCTCATGAATATCCACTCAAATGGCTGTATCACTCCATCACACAGACGCACCACACAGAGGGTCATCTCTCCTCAGTGGCTCAGTGTCCTGGGAGTGCCCCGTCCTTCCTGTTTACCAGTGTGCTCTGGGGGGACACCTTCACACATACATATCTGTGTACATTGAAGAGACTGTCCATAGAGTATGTTCTAGAAGAATAATCAGGGCCAAATGGTAATACCATCTATGAGGGTTTTGGTAGTGTCCAAATGGTTTCTCTAACTATGACCTGAAGTTGTGCCATGTGGTCGATGTCTGCACTCCACATGGCTTTGACCACAAACACGAACAATGGCCTTTTGCTGGGTACCACACTGTGCGAAGTCGCTGTTTCATCTGCTTTTATTTGGAGCTGGGTAGGGTGAGGTTTCCAGCGTGTATTATGCATTTTCTTCCTTGTGAAGTATAATTGCATTTTTTTGAAGATTTTCTACTGGGTTTGCTCATTCATTTGTTCATTCATTCATTCACATAACATATAAGCATTTGTAGTAACTGCTTCTTCTGTGTGTGTTTTGTGTATTAAAGATGTAAAATTTGGGCTGTTTTTTTCTGAAGAATACATCCCTGGCTTATTTGCCCCTTACAGTGGTCTATGATGTTGTAGGTTTATATATATCTTTTTATAGAGTCTTACCTACAGATTCTTTCCTTTCGAAGCCTCTAAAATGCTCCTTTGGATTGGTGAGGTCTTAATGATCTTGATTAAATCCATAATCTTCAGAAGGACATTTAGAATACGGTTTTCCTCCCTAGGCCTCTGTCCATCCCCCAACCAAGTAAAGAGCATAAAACATTGCTGACAGTGCTTTGTTCAGAGTCACAGGGTTGAGAAGGGTAACAGTGGGTGGAACTCAGTTCTTCCCAGCTCTGTCTCTTACCTGACTGAGCTAGCTTCCTCCAGTGAATGATGGGATCAATGATAGTCACATGTGGCTGGCTGCCCATGAGAGGCAGGTGTCTGGCGTATTCAGTACACACAATCCTTATCACCAATAAAATCAAATGCGATTTTCCAGCCTTCCATAAAGGGATCCACAAAGTCACCCAAGTGCTGGTTAAACATGCACAACTGTGTGTTGTACACTCACTGAGGGCAGCACCATGCCTAGTCCTGGAGGATGAGGAGCAGCTGTGTCCGCAGGCACCCTGTTATCAAGTGGGGGAGTTCCTGGCATGAATCTTGGTCCCACTCATTCACTACTTCAGAGAGGTTTCAGGATCTAGAAGAAAGCATAGGAACTGCCCGTGACTCAGGGTGGCTGGCTCACAGTAGGCTAATATGGTGGATGTTGGTTAAGTGCTGGTTCTCCAGTCCCTGGAGTGTCTCCAGGGAAGGACTGCAGTAGGAGGAATTGGGGACCTCATTGGGAACTTCCCTCAGCCAGCACAGAGTTTGCTTGACCCATCTTCTCACACTTGACCCAACAGCCTTGCCAGGTCCTGTACTCTAGATCCTCAGGGTCCCCCAACTTGTATCCTTCTACAAAGAAGACAGTGGGGCCCTCTGGCATCAGCTGCTGTCTGCCTTGCCATCCCTGCCACCTCCCAGCTTGCACTCTGCTCTCTCCTTGCTCAGATTCCCACTAACTGCTACCCGTTTGCTACTGGCCACCAACACCTTACCACTCTGACCACCTGGTATCACACTATGTGTCCTATAAGCTAGAGAGTGGTGCTGGTTGCCCTGACCACCAGCTTTCCATGTGCCTCTTGAGAACAGGAGGAAGCAGGGGGCCCAGGGCTGATGTTTGTGAGCGTGAGTGAGTGTCCTTAAGAAAGGTTCATTTTGGATTAGCTCTGTCAGATGCTGGCCCAGCCGTCTGTGAACTAAAGTCAAGCCAGTGTGGGCATTGCCATGTATCTTCTCCCTGCTTGGATAGACTGTTCAAGCTCAGGGGCTGGAGCAGGGTGGGAGCTGGGTCATGGCACCTTGGAGAATACTGATAGGATAGATGGGTAACCAATATAGTCAGCTCTGCCTAGGACAAAGGGTGTCCTGAGACAGTCTAGGGCAAACAGGGACAAGTGAGTACTCTGGAGCTGACAGGTACCATAGGAGTATAGCAGGGAGCTCAGTCTCTGGGAGCTCAGTCCCAGAACTGTGGCTGCCAGGGAAGGCTTGGCTAGGGCATGGTGGTGCCTTGTAACACTCAGGAGGCAGAGGCAGGCAGATCACTGTGAGAAGCCAGCCTGGGATGGTCTGCATATCAAGTTCTAGGCCAGCTAAAGCTGCATAATGAGACCTTGTCTCAAATCCCCTGTACTTGGCACACTGCTGGTCTCTAAACCACGGAGACCCAGCTCTTTCTTGGCAGCACAAAGCCCATTTTTGACATGTAGGTGAAGGCAATCCAATCTGATCATGTACATTCTAGAATGTTCCTTTGATGGTCTCACAGCAGGTGGCATCCCTTCTCCTGCCCTCTGTGTGCGCCCTCCTCCTGTCCCCTTTGCAGCCTGGGCTCTGGGCTGCAGGCAAACAGCTGCTCCATCACGCCCCCTTTAGGCCTGCCCTGGTTATCTGAGCACAAGGCCAGAAGCTACACCATGCTAACCTTGGCCCAAGGTGGAGCCCAATGGAGAGGCTCAAGTATAAGACATGGGAGGCTGTGGCTCAGTCAGGCCTGCCTCTTCTCCTTCATGTTCAAAACCCTTGGGGAAGTAGGCCTAGGACTCAGGAAGATGGAAATACTAAAAATCTGTCCTTGCCGATAGCGATGGGTCAGAGAACGAGACCTTGTGTCCACAGTGGAGCGTTCTTAGAGTTGGCCCCAAGTCAATGGATGGAGAGGAGAGCTCAGCCACCTCAGGTGCCCTGGGTGTGGGATGGGGAGCAAGTTTTTGACCTTCCACCACTCAGATGATACCTAGGTCCTAGAGCATCCCTGGGGGCCAGGCTCCTCTCCTGCCTGTCCAGACCGCTCCTGCCTACTGGTGGTGGGAGCAGGCTTTGAACTGGAAGGTCCTGTGGAAAGAATGTTTTCTCTGCCCCTTGGTTACTGTCCAGGGTACTGAGAAGGGCTGTGGTGTTCTTCCTCTATACCCAGCACAGACTGAAGCACACATTGCCCATGTGTCTCTGGGAGACACTGCCCCTCCCCTAGCTCTGCAGAAACTCCGGAGAACATCTCCTGGTCATGATTCAAGACTGGAAAGTTACCATCGCATTTCATTGTGTTCAGTTTCCCATTAGGAAGTTAAAAATTAAACGTTTTAAATTTCTCATCAAAAACCACGCTTACCGTTCCCAAGAAGCCATGCTCCGTGTCTAAGGAACAGTTTTGTCTCCCTGTCAGTACTTGTTCTGCTGGCCCCCGGGCAGTTTGGGGCCAGGTTGACCTTGATGTTGTTGGGAGAAGCACTGACTGCAGCTTTCCTGCCTCCCCATCCCGTGGAGTCCACCCGTACCCACACCAGGCTGCCTTCACCCCATAGCTGTTTTTTGGTACCTGCTGTGCATCTAGCTCTGCTCTGAAGGTAAAGCAGCTGGAGTAGATGTGTCTCTACCTTGGGTGCTGGAGGGAGGGAACAGACCTCAGTGTTCATCAAGTGAGCTAGCTGTAGGGCAAGATGACCCTGTGGCCTCAGGAAGCAGGCTGGGCTTCCAGGAGGAGGAGGTAAAAGTAGCTTGAGGCTGGGAGCTGAGCACGTATCCGGACAGTAGGAACAGTAGGTGCAAAGGCCCTTAGGTGAAAGATGGCTTGTTCTGTCTGAGGGCCAGATGAATGGGGCGCGGGAATATGCCACAGCCAATCATGAACACTCCCCATGTGGTCACAGATGTGTTTGAGGGTGACCCTGCTCTCACCAGCTTTCCAACCCTTGCACCCCGACCCCACATGCATGTGCCCTTCTCCCTACAGCTGTCTCCCACAACATACCATAGAGATGCTGTGGGAGTAGCTTTGGAGTCCTGCAGGCTGGGTTCCATATCCCCGGTCCCCCGTGTGACTTTGGACAAGGGACTTAACAGCCTCCATGTCTGTACCCACAAAACGGGGAGATGATGGCTACCCCGGGGTGATCACATGGGTAGCAAAACACGTAGTAGGGGCAGCATGCAAGGAGGACAGCTGCACGTTCACTCGCTCCCTCACTGTAAGTCTCTAGAACACACAGCTCTCGTCCACCCGTGCACCAAATCCACTTCTAGTCACCTCCTTGGTGCACGCACAGCCAAAGCCTTGTACACGTACAGCAGTGTAGACATCCACTACCCCTCATCCCCCAGCAAACTGTACAGAGGCGTAGTTTCCTCACGCTGCTCACCTGCCTTCGCCTTCCTGTCCTGCTGCTTTGCAGTGGCTGCAGCACATAGAAGGCACGGAGGCCGCCCTCACGCAGAAGATGATCGACCTGGAGAAGGAAAAGGTAAAGGGTCCAGCCCCTCCTCACCAGGGGCCGCTGCAAATGAAGGAGCCTTTGTCCTCAGCCCAGGGATGCGAGAGAAAGCATTCCAAGACACCTGGCTCTGGAGCCGTCCAAGACTGAATGGCTTTCCAAGTAGACATGGGAGGTGAAGAAGGCAGCAGTCACACAGAGCCTGAAGCTGTATGTCATGTCAGGAGAGCCCTGGACAGGCACCAGAGGGCTGGGTTCCCCTATTACCAATGGCATCACGGACAAGGCAGTTTTCCTGCTGTCTGTCTGCTTCCATATCTGTAAAAGGTGGGGTTTTCCATGTGAACTCCAGCTCCAAGCCCTCGTCAGTGGTAGAAAGGAATCTGCCTGCTCAGATCATGTCTTCATAGAGGGCCCTGGAGGAATGTGCACCTGGGAGGTCCACTGGTAGGGGACACAGCTCAGGGAGGGGGTCAGCTGCACCTGAGAACTGTGGGATAGTCTCTAGAGGGCCCCAGGCCACAACACAGGGACTGAGACGGGTTCCTGGGATGCGGTCTGGGAAGGAAGCATGTTGCAGGTGGGGATCTCCTCGCACCCAAGGGGCAGGGTCAGGGAACTAGAGGAGTGAGACTGATCCTGATGAAGGTTCCCGTGGACAGCCAGGGCGGTGAGGGCTTTGGGAGTTCACACAGGGCAAGCAAGGCCCCATGGAAAGCCTTCTTCCTCCCCAGTCCTTAGCCCTGAGTCACGAGTGGGTGCATTTAGAGTCACCCTGCTGCATGCTCCCTCTGGCCAGGCTCCTGATGGTGCCTCCTTCTCTTCCAGGACCTGTTCAGCCGGCAGAAGGGCTACCTGGAGCAGGAGCTGGACTACAGGAAGCAAGCCCTTGACCAGGCCTACCTGGTAGGACCAGAAGTGGGTTTGACACTTTGGCTTTCTAACCTCAGCCTTAGAGGCTGCTTCTTCCTACAGGACACACACTGGGCTTTGAAGGCTCAATCCTCCACCCTCTTCACAGGGAACCAGAATGACCAGCAGGTGGTCACTTGGCCCAAAGCAGTCATGATTTTCAACTATAGTCCAAATTACCTTCATGGTCTCTTTGGACTTTAAATTCTCACCATGTGAGCTGAGTGAGAAGAAAGTTTCATCTACATTTGTTGATTCTTTTTAAAGATTTAAAAATATGAGTGCCTTGCCTACATGTATATAATTGCACCTGTGTTGTACATGGCCTGTGGAGGTCAGAAAAGGGTGTCAGATCCCTAAGAACTGGAGTTACAGACAATTGTTAGCTATGTGGCTGATGGGAACCAAACCTGGGTCCTCTGCAAGAGCAGCCAGTACTCTTAACCTCTGAGCCATCTCTCCAGGCCAGACTTTTTGGGTGTACATACATGCAGGTGCCTGTAGAGTTTAGAGGGCATTGGATCCCCTGAAGTTGGAGTTACAGGTTTTTGTGACCTGTCTGATATGGATGTTGGAAACTGAACTCATGTTCTCTGCAAGATTAGTACGTGCTCTTAGCTGCTAAGCCATCTCTGGCCTGTTTCTGTTCATACTTAAATATTTATTATCCTTAAAATCCCAAAATGAGGGGCTGGGAATGTAGCTTACTTGGTAGAGTGCTTGCCTATCATGCATAAAGTCCTGATTCAGTCCCCAGTACTGCATAAATTGGGCATGGCGGCACATGCCTGTAATCCTAGCATGCGAGAGACGGAAACAAAAGTTCAGTATCACCCTCGACTACCTAGCAAGCTCAAATCCTGTCTCCAAAATCAATTAAAAAGCCAGTTTTCTTATAGATAGGAAAAGGAGATGGTCTCAAAAGAATGCAGAGGGAAAGCAGCCAGGGCTAAGGAGACATAAGAGCAAAGGGGGTAAGTCCTACAAAGCACCAAGTGGGGGGAGGTCACAAAGTGCTCTGGGCTTCCTAGTGTTTGAGGTTTAGGTTCAGATGTCCTCACACTCAAAGCCATTAGCTCCTGCCACTCAGAGCCATTCTCCCATGGAATGGGGGCCTTAAATGGTCTGAGGATGCCCCCATGGTGTAGAACACAGAACCAGTGCACAGCCCACAGGAAGCCACTGGTGTCTTGTACAGAGCCCAAGCAAACCTTTACCCTGATAATTTGCAGCTAAAATCAGTCTGCAAGGTATGGGGGCAGCTAAGACATAGAGTGAATAAGGAGCTGCAGCTTTCAGACCTGCTATCAGGAGCGGCTCCTGTGCAGGACACCTGGCTTAGTGCAGGTGGGTGGGGGGTTCTAGAAGCAGAGGCTGACCAACCTCACACCAGGTGAGCCTTACAAGGCTCAATGTGTGTTAGTGATGTCTCAAGTCACAGAGACCAAACACCTGACAAACAGTTTAACAGAGGAAGGATTTATTTTGGCTCATGATTTCAGAGGTGTCAGCTCATCATGACAGGAAGGACATGGACAAGCAGAGCAGTTCGCATCATAGGGGCCAGGAAGCAGAGAAAAGGGGGATACAGGAAAGGGCCTGGGCAAGACATAGCTGCAAGAACTCACCCCCAGTCACCCACTTCCTCCAGCTGGGCTCCGCCTCCTCCCTTTCACCGCCTCACAATAATGCTGCCTTATTAAGACTCCTTCCAGGGACTGACCCGTGGGTGAGGGCAGAGCCCTCAAGGTCTCATGTCTGGGAATGTTCACAGGCACCCAGATATTGCTTCATTGGTCCCATATTGGTAGTCAATACTTCCCATCAAGCAGCATCTCCATACCCCTCCCTGTTTCTGTTCACATGATGTGACTGACAGCCCAGAGGTCAAGGGATAAGTGAAAATACGCACCTATGCTCTGGGTCATCTCCTGCCGTTTAACAATTTTGATTTTTCCTTGATCTCATCCAGTCTTGGTCCTTGTAAACATCCTTGAAGGACACACTGTGGCTGTCCAGCACGGTCTTCCAAGTGCGTGTTCATAGACATGAGGGACAACTCTCAGGGAAAGGTGCAGGAACTTAGCTGCCCTCAAGAGGAGGTGCAGTAGGGCCCAAGCTGAGTGCTCTGATCCTATGGTCTTCCCAGGGCCACTGCATACTGAGGGGCAGCTGTAGAGCCCAGAGGGATAAAGGCCAGCCACTGTCAAGTTCACCAACTCACTGGACTTGATTTCGGGGGACCTCTTGGAGAACTGCCCTTTCCCTAAGTGTCATTTGCAAAATCTGAGTGCCCACTCATCCTCTGAGTGCTGTGTGTAGTCAGACTCAGGACCCTGAGCTAGAGCATGCTGGCTCTCAGAGGATGTCCCTATCTTGATCCTGTTCCCTGCAGAAGCTATATTCATCCCTGCAAGGCACCCCTGAGCCTCAAGTGGGTAGCATGCTCCCAGAGGGATTTTAGCCTCCTGAGAGTCTAGGTAGTTCTCAAAAGTACCAAATTCTCTTGGAGAGTTGGGGCAGTGAGCCTCTCACTTCTTGCATCCATGCTGGGAAAGGGCAGGTACTGGATGCATGCCTGTCTTCCTTTGTTGTGAAATGGCGTGGGAACTGGGTGAGATAGGCAGGCTTTCCTCAGTGGGGTCTAGGTTTGGAGGTGGTGCCCAGTCCTGAAACTGGCAACCTGAGGGTCTCTAGGAGCTCAGCTGCTGAATGGAGAGGGGTCAGCTAGAAGGCACAGGGAAGTTCCCATGCTACGCTTGGAGCCCCTCAGCTCTGCCAGGGGATGGACTCTGGCCTTCTGCTTGCCGCTGGGCTTCATCAAGATGATTTCTGCAATTTATTAGGAAGTGAAGTGGTGAGGGCCTTTGGAGAAGCAGGAAGAGAGACGATTTTCTCCTTTGTCCCTGGCATCATGGTAAGGTAGCTGTTGAGCATCCAGTTGGAGATCTGGAGGAAGTGACTTCATCTGATGACTAAAACCTGTAGAGTGGGGCATCAGCAGCCAGCCCAGTGTCTCCTTCAGCTTTGCCAAAAAAGGCCCTCTTGCTTCCGGAGGCAGTGGTTAGAATATTGCCACTATTTGCTTTGGGGTAAAGCTGCATTCTTATCAAAGCCAGGAAATAAATGTTTCCAATTGAGACACGGCACCCCACTGACTCTGTTAGAAAAGGGGACAAGAAAGCCGGGTGTGGTGGTACATGTCTTTAATTCAAGCACTCGGAAGTAAAAACAGGTGGATCTTTGTGAGATTGAGGCCAGCCTGGTTTACCTAGTGAGTTCCAGGTCAGCTAGGCTATAAGGAGACACTGCCTCAAAAAAGAAGAGGTTATAAGAAGAAACTGGAAGGCGGAGATAACCAGTTGGACACACCTGTTTAAGGGAGACGTCTCGTCTTACCGCGGTCTCCTGTATAGTTGAGGGGCGTTTGTCTGTCCGGGGCAGAACACTCAGCCGTGTGTCTCAGGCTTAGGGGGGCTCCCCACGCTGTCCCCTGTGAACCTTACTGCTCTGCCGGTCCCTGCATGCTGTGTTCTGTAACGTGTTCCCTCTCGGGCTGGGCCCCTGGCAGCCCCAAACTCCTGACTGTGGTGCCTGTTCACCCCTCTGTAACGTCAACTGTCTGTGTGATGGGGCTGTGCAGAAAATCCAGGACCTGGAGGCCACGTTGTACAATGCGCTGCAGCAGGAGCCAGGGCAGAGGGCCAGCGAGGCGCTGAGCGCCAGCCAGCGCGAGGACTTGCAGGCGGCGGTGGAGAAGGTGCGCAGGCAACTCCTGCGCCAGAGCCGGGAGTTTGACAGCCAGATCCTGCGGGAGCGCATGGAGCTGCTGCAGCAGGCCCAGCAGGTATCAGCAGGGCCATCACAGGGCCACCTCTCCACCTTGTGTCCGCAGTACACCCCGGACCCCTGGATGGGCATTGTGCACCCAGGGCATGTTGCTGGAGAGCTGGCAACAGGGAAGGTTCTAGACGTTCAGAGTGTCTTCTTCCGTGGTGCTTGTCACAGCATGGAAGGCAGGAACATCTCCCTGGGGGGCTGTAGATGGCAAACCAGTTCTTCCCACTGGCTGGAACATGCATACAAATCAAAGCCATTTCTTTCTTCCTGCCCTTCCTCCAGCACCTCCCATCCTTCTGTAGCCAGAAACCACAGGGGGTGCTTTGGTTCAGCATCTACCTTACTGCTGGGTTTGGGACCCGCCTACCATCACGATCCTTTATGGCTCCGGGGACCTCAGCATCTGTGAGGCTCACATGATGCCGGGCAGAGGGAAGAAGGTTCCAGCCTCCCGATGACAACTGAGAAGGGAGCAGCAGTGCAGGAGGACTGCACCGAGCCTTGCCAGCAGGGTGCTCCCTGCACCGCAGCCTCCACATCACTCAGGGTGTCCCTGCAGGGTGTGGACATGGATGTGCAGCGTGGATGCCACCCAAACCCTCCCTTCCTGTAGCCCTGGGACCCAATCCATGATCTTTGCCACCGTGCTGGAGACCTACATGCCTGGCCCAGTCGTCAGTTTATGAGTGCATGCTTCATACACTGTATAACTCTAGTTCATGAACTTCATAGGTAGAATCCATCCATCCTTAATAGAAGTCAGAACAGAGTGTTGCTCTGTGGGGGCTGGCTGTAGGGCAGTTGGGTAGTCTCTGTCGTGATTTGGGTAGCAGTAATGTGTGTGCTTTCATAGACACTCGCAGAGCTACCCGTGTCTGTCCTTCACAGCTTCTATACTGGACCACCATAAAAGACAAAGGTCAGATTCTGGGCCTGGGAAATCTTTTCTGACACATGGTCTGGTGTCTTTCAGAGAATCCGGGAGTTGGAGGACAAGTTGGAGTTGCAAAAACGCCACCTAAAGGAGCTGGAGGAGAAGGTAGGGGGGGTGGCTGGACCTGAGACACAGGGGGAACCTAACCTGCCCGTTTTATGTGGTGCAAACCAAGCAGCCCCCGCCCCTGTCCGTCCCCTCCAGGAATCTAAGGCAGCTATAGGCTTCCAGGCAGAGGCTGCCTTCTCAGAGACTTTCATGAACTGTAGCCTAGGCTGTGTGTGTCTGCAGTGAACTGAATTCTGGTGCTCAGATTACTTTCTCCTGTTGGTGCATGTGGAGGCCATAGGTTGACATCGAGTGTGTTCCTCTCAGCACTCCACCGTATGTTTGGAGCAGGGCCTCTTGCTGAACTGGGAGCTCACCAATTCTGGCTAGTCTAGCTGGCCAGCTTGCTTCAGGGATTCCCTGTCTCTGCCTCCCTAGCACTGGGATTACAGGTGGGTCAGGCGCACTTTAGAGATCACACCGGCCATGCCCTCCACGCATCTGGTTTGTTCTTGGATTATGCTCCTGGCCCCTCACCCTCCGGCTTCCTCATAGTGATATGCCTGCACTGTTCTACCTCTCTGGCCCAGGAGGGTATGGCATGGGCTGCATAAAGAATGGGAAGAGCTGGCCTGACTGGGTGGATTATGGGTTGGCCACAGGACTAGGGGTGTTCCAGGAGGCCCACCTCGTAGCTTCTCCTGGGCGCTCCCTGCCTGCCATAGTGGAGATTCCAGCCCTAATAACGGGCTTGCTGAACTGGCTTCCACAACTTAGTCACACTCCACTGAGTGGTCTCGGCAAGCCCACCCCCACCCCTCAGCCTCAATTTCACTACATGGAACTCAAAGGGCTCCAGGATTCCAGTGACCCCATTTTAGCTTTTCCAGGAATTCTACAGAAAAAAATATGGTGCCTGTTGGTTGGATTTCTACTTTTCTTTATAAATAATATGGGGAACTATGACCTTGTTTGGGGGGAAAAAACTATTTTCAAAATCCCCAGGTGATGGTCAGATATGTTTCCTCGAATGGCTGGTGATTCTATTTGAGCTTTGGAAGTCATGAATAGATTAAGGAACATTCTCTTGAACTAACCTGTAAGAGTTTTCTGTGTGTGTAAGGCTGTTTTTTTCTTGCTCTGTTTTTTTGTTAAGTAGACTGGTCAAAAGGCACATAAAGCTTAAAGTAGTAACAATTCTCTTGGAGTAGATGGTGCAGGGAAGGTTTACCACAGGGTAGACTAGCTGCGTCCTTTGTTTGGCTTGTCCACATTATGCCCTGTGTCTGGGTGGACCTGGGGAAGGCCGTTCCTCTATAATGTCTCGTGCAGCCCCGTCTTTGTCCCCAAAGCCCTTGTCCATGGCATAGATCTCACCTGGCAGCCTCGGCTAGTGAGTGCCCCGATGAGTGTGTTGGGACAATCCACTGGGCACACAGGCCAGAGGGAGCAATCTTTGCCCGCAGCCTGCTTCCCTGGGTTCCTCTGCCCCAGCTGCCCCAGTGCCGTAGTTCTTACAAGATGCTGTCAATGACTCCCATGCTGCATCTCTCACATTTCTTTTTCTTTTTCTCTTCTTTTCCTTGTTTTCTTTTGGTCTTATGTTATAGTTTTTGTTCCTGTTTTTGTTTTTCTCACTAGCATTCATTCTGTGGCCTTGATGAATCCCGTGAGCTGAGAACTCGGGTGGGTACCATTTCCGTTTTACTGTCAGGTGCAAAGTTGATGGTCTGAGAGAGGAGGCTGCCTCCCCTTTGGCTGGATCATACCCTAAGGAGACCAGGTGCCTGGAAGGCAGCCTTGTTCTGCAGTCCTCTGCTCAGGCTCCTTGGGGCTGTGTGGTCCTGGAGAACCTTATGTCCTGCTGCGGAGGCAGATGGTGAGGGCTCACTGAGAACGAGAGACCTGATGGAGTCTCATCCACAGAGGGGGTCTGTGTTCCATTCCCAGACCTTTCTCCAGCCTGCCTCAGTTTCTTCTCTGTTACTGTGTGGACCAGCATATCTCCTGTCTGATCCAAAGCAAGTGTGCTTCCTGTGCCGAGGAACAGCAGATTTATAGGCCAGTGGCTCATGAAGTCAGACCCTGATGTACTTGTCCAGTGTCTAAGAGCCACCAGTGCCTTGCCCCTCACTTGTGTATCTCAACCCCCATGCCTAGTTATGATGCCCAACTGTACTCAGAGACCCAAGGAATGAACCATCTCATAGCTGGTCCTGCGCTGGCTGTTGGGCCCTTGTGCCCAAGCACCCAGAACCCACTCTTAGTCTCTGTTTTTAGCCCTTCCGTACCCTCCCAGTGCTGAGTGCCCATCCCAGAACTGGCCTCTCCTGGGACCCATGCATTCTGGGGTCTTGTCTCTGAATCCGACTGAGGCTAAGTGTCCCTGAGCTCCACATGTCCCCAGGGTCCATTAGATTCCTGAACAACTTACCTAATGTCCTTAGGGATGTCTCTGACTCTGGCGCTGGCCCACAAAGGCTTAAGTTGGGATGGGGTTATCCAAATCCTACTCCCTCTGCTGGGTTGTTGAGAGAAGCCCCCTGAGGACTTAACTGGAGAAGTCAGGATGGCAGAGGGTCCAGGTACATCATAGTCCCTACCACCCTTCTTAACCTTGACTTTTGTGTTACTTCAGATTATGTTTTTAATCTTACAGGCTAGACAAAGAACTTATGGAATCAACTGCGTTCCCATGGCACCCCAACTCTACTACTCAAACCAAAAGCAACAGCAAAACAAGCTATTCAAAGTCCAGAGCCTAAATACAGGACTCATGCACATTCGAACAGCTTAAAGGGGAGGCCTGGGAACCTGGCCAGCCCCTGCTGGAACGCTGCAGGACAATGGGGAGCCTGCCTTCTGTCCCCACTGTGGCATCTTCAAGAGCAGAGGGTAGAAACCAGATCTGGATGCCAGAAATCTAAGTGCAATTATCAGACATCCAGGGGCTGAGAGCTACTGCACCGTCGGGGGACAGGTGCGAGCCCTGTTCCCATACTGTGTGTCTCCCCAGATGCACTGTGTGTATCTGGCTAGACACAGACACCCCACTGCCCTGTGTACATAAATCTCCATGAACTATGTGTATTCTTTCTGAACCTGTTTGCCACAGCGACTCACAAATATCCCTAAACCAGGTCCTGTCAGCAAAACCTCTGACTCTGCACACAGCTGGACTTGGGAGCTGGAGGTCAGGAAGAGAGAGAGTTAAAGTCTCACCACTGTGGAAAGGAGACCCCACAGGTCTTAGATTTCTGAGGAAATCAAAGGCTCTGTCACTCTTGTGGGTGTGGAACTCTGGAAGTCCTGGAGCATAAGTATACCTCAGGCCGGGGGAGCAAGGACTGACAGTGCAGGCCCAGGCTGCCTGGCATCTTGGCTCTAATTCTCAGGGGCAGCCTAAAAAGGAGCTCTGGCTGGTGGAATCATACCCTTAGACAGTTAGTCCCCAGAGCTCGCCTCTGAGGCCTGAGCCCAGGCGCGCTCTTCTAGCCTAGGAAGACAAGGAGCACTCACTACCCGGGATCCTCAGTGGGGAACAGAGTCATCTCTTGCTGTGTAGTTATGAGGCCAAGTGGCAACACCATGATTTCTTGGAAGAAGGACTGAAATAACTGAGGTTCAGGTTCATCGAGGGAACTGTGGGGTAGGAACTGACATTGTAGGAAGCCAGATTCAAAGACAGAGAAGCAAGGACAGCGCTCTGCGCAGGACTGACCAGGTGGAAGGCTGTTCCAGGGATGAGCAGGAGGCTGAAGGCAGCATGCTAACACAGCTGCAGGTGAGGGTCTCCGCTGAACTGCAAAACCCAAACCACAGCAGTCTACAAGCCTGGCCCCTGAGACTTACCAAACACTAAGTGGTCAAATTCCAAGAAGCCCATCTTCGACAACACAGACATCTGTGACACTGAGGCCAGGACAGGAGCGTGGGTCACCAGTGAGGAAAATGGGTCTCTGGGAAAAGGCACAGGTGCATTGCTGGGCTGATTTCTGCAGGCAGGCACCCTGTGGCATCCAGATGGTCATAAAGAAACCCACCACTTTGTTCCTGTAGCTCCATCTGTCCAGTGCCCTGAAGGATGATGAGTTAGAGTGTTTCGTCTCTACCCTGTGACACAGAGAGCTGTGTCTGTCTGTGTGCTTGACTTTTCCACTCAGAACTCATGTGACAGTGGCCTTAAGTCTGCAGTTAGATCCATCCGGTCACACCCAGCTCAGCCATGTTTCTGTTGCTGACTAGCCACGTTCTTGTGACTCTGAGGAGCAAAGTGACAGATTCCAGGCCATCCCTTGGGAGAGATCTTCTGTGACTACCGCTGGACAGGTGGACCTGTGACATTCCACAGGGCTCCTGACACCCTGACAGTGACTGGCAAGAAGGAGCAAGTGCCTGAGTCTCTCAGTGAGAGCAGCCTTCCAAGGAATCCTTCCTGCTTCCCAGTGGGGACCAGCAACCATCCTCTTCTACCCCCAAGAAGCCGCTCAGGCCTGACAGAATATGGCTCACACTGGCAGGTGTGCAAGGTGCTCTTCATTGGAGCCCCAAATCCCTACTAGGACCCAGCATTTCTTGTCACTGTCCCAGGTACAGCATTCAAGGTCCCTTCTAGGAGCAGGTCGGGTTAAGAGCCATGATGCAGAGGGAACCTCAGAGCCATAGTGGTGCCACCTGACACAGATCTTCCCTTCTTTCCCCACTGGGAGTTGTAGTCTGCTTCTCACATGTCCTTCCTCCCAGGGGTCAAGGCTGTGCAGCTCCTGCTTCTCTTGGTTTCCATAACTAGCTTCCCAGCAGGAGCCCTGGGTTAAGGTTTTGTTTATTTCTCACATTTAAATTAATCTCCTCTTGCTAAGCGACTTCCAGGTAGAGCAGGAAACTCCCAAATCAGTCAGTTTGAGGTCCTCTTCCTCCACCAAATTGTCTAAGAACGAACTCTTGGAGGCTTCTGCAGACCCCAGCCGGTGTCTCCAGAGCCCTACTCTGTTGGGTGGAGCTGGGTCTCCAGGGCTGAGTCCACCCCTTTCCTCCCTCCCTCTCCCATCTCCTCAGGGCTGAGGTCCTGAGGTAGAGGCTTCCTGTTCTCAGGCCTGGCTTGTGCCCTTCCCGTAACCACCCTCCCAAGGCATGGGGCCCCATCCTTACAGCCACTCTGTGTCAGTAGGGAAATGGGGGCCACAAACCCAGCCCCACCCCAAGCATTCACTTCCCTTTTCCATCTTCCAAGCTCCCCTTTCTTCTCCCTTAAATGTTGGTGATTCACCAAACAGAGTTAGGAGACACTTCCTCAGGGGCTGTGTGCCTGTCCTGGGGAGGAGGGCTGTGGGAGAACTGCAGCAGCTCTCTAGGGAAATTTCCCCTCTGCCCGTCTCTGCTGCCTTCAGCTGGTAGCCATCTTCCCACAGCAGGTGACGCCTCGTAGCCAGTGTCTCTAGAGCTCACAGGCCACTGGGGGATTTCTCCCCACAGCAGAGGAGGAAACTGCCTGCTACGGTGTCATTTAGCAGGGTGCTGGCCACTGGCCTAGTACCCTGCAGCAGGTAAACGACAGGGTTGGTTGTAGGCCAGACGGCTGAGCACACAGTCCAGGATGCATTGTTATACCCACCACACCCAGCCAGCACAGACTCGAGGGTCTGCCAGGCTGTCTATTGAGCAAGATGTGTGAGTCCACTCATTCTTCCTCCACTGGACGCAGATGCATTTAGATAGTGTCTGGAGATCCTTTTGTGAAACATTAGGTAGTTTATCCAGAGTCCTACTTGAGACAGGATTCAAACTCAGGCAGTCGGTCCCAGCACACAGTTACTGAGTTGCTCTTCCTGCCCCTTGAGTCCAGTGTCTAACCTTCCCGATTCTGCCTACATCCCCCGGCCCCTGCTACTGCAGCTCCTCATGGCCCCCCAGACATCACCACTGTTGGGAATTCTGTTAGGACAAACCTCCCAATTCATAAGGCCTCTCTGTAAAGGTACAAAAGAAGGCCATCAGTTTCTTATCAGAAAGCATGAAGCCAGTGTCAGATGTGTCCTGAACCACCCTAGAGGTTGCAGAGGCAGAGCGGGAGCTCACAGATGAGCACACATGACTGCCAGCTGAACCATCCCATCCTAAGGTCAGGGAGCACGGCCAATCCTTACCACTTAGGACTCATCCCATGTTCTCTCAGTAGTTGGGTGATCCTCTGACTTCATTAATTGGTTTCATACAAAGGGTTAAAATAAACTACCTTTATGGCCAGAGGCAGTTGTGCATCTTAAAGCTGGGTGCCCTCCCAAAGTGAGCGCCTACCCTCTGCGGAACGAGGGGCACTGTGCATTCTGCCTGGTGTCCCTGTTCTGCAGAGATGTTTCTAGGCTCTAAGAGACAGTTGGCCAAAAGCACCTTTGGCTTGAGAAAGGACTCACAGTCACACCCTGCCCTCTGTGTGCTTGGGTTTTCTGCTGCAGATTCAAACCAACCGCATATAGAATATTTGGAATATTTGACATCTGTCCTAAACACTCCAGACCTTTCCCTTGCCATTCCTAAACAGCAAGTGTGGCAGCAGTAGGCGTGTTTGCCTTGTAGTCCGTGTCTGATGTCTCACAGAAGTGGTTGAGTGTGTGGGAGGGTGTGCCTCGGTTCTATGCAAACACCACACTTTTTGTGTGTGAGGGCCTGGGTGTCTGTGATTCTGCTGTTTGTGGATCCCTGGAATGCCAGCTCTCACTCAAACAAGAGTGAGACAGAAACTCTAGGAAATTAAATGCTCAAAAATGTTCACAAGGTGGGGCGGAGTGTGTGTGTGTTCAGTTCTTTGTGGGTCCCCAGGGGCACTAGTAAATATTAAGAAAATAGAGTGGGAATCTCGTCTGTTATTTTTCTAGGGAAGTTAAGCCTCTTATTTCTTATTTTTCTTCATCTTTGGACTTCTCTGCCTCATCCTGGCCACTTGTGTGGTTGGTGGCCTCCGTTTTTTTACCCCCTGCAAACCCGAGAGGCCTTGGTCCTTGGATCTGCAACTCCTTGACCCTGACTAGCCTGTGACTCCCCAGTGCTCACAGCGAGATGCCAGGGCCCTTAGAGAATGTGGCCCTAAGGCCCCATCTGAGTGCCACGGGCCAGCCACACCCAGCTACTCCATCCCTATATGGCTGTAACCTGAAGATTGCCCCTACTCTGGGGGATCTTCTGCACACCTCTGCCTACTGCCCTCTGCTATTCCTGAATCTTTCAGCCTCTGGGTCCCCAGGGCACCCATTTTCTGCTGCCCAGGCTCCTCTTGCTTCCACACTGAATCTTGAAGATCCCAGGTTAGAATATACACTCTTAGGTTTGGAGACAGATTGGCGTTTCCCATCCCATCTGTGTGGCTTAGACAAGCTCCTCCACATTCTGGGGTCTTGATTATGCCATCTGTAAAATGGTCATGTTGATGCTCATCATAGGGTTACCAGGAGAACTGGACTAGGTAGGCTTGAGAGACTTCCCAGTTCAATGCTAATTTCCCATCGTCTTTGCCCTGCAAACGCTAAGTCCTTGGTAAGTACCTGTTGTGCTTAAACCAGAGGTGTAGAACCTTGTTTATTGTGGGATGGTATGAGCCTTCTTTGCTACTGCAAATCCGTGGCTGATGGAGCTCCCTGAAAATCTTCCTTTTCTTCCCTGTGAGCACTGCTGGGCGTTTATCCCAGGGGCTGTTCTGAAGCTCGTCCTGGCTTTGGTGCACTCTAGCATGCCAACTTGTAAAATGAGAGGCTCTGGTCCGTATTGCATGACGTTGTAGGGATGAAACTCAAACCATCACTCATGAATAATCCACCCGTTGTTCTCCTCAAAGGGCACAGCAGCCACCTAGAAATTTCCAGAAAGTCCATGTTGCAAACTCACTCCATTTTATTAAGCCAGTGAAGGATTTCTGGGATGGAGTCCGCAGCCCAGGAACAGACTGAGCAAATCTTCAGCTATGTCGTCAGAGCCCCCAGCACTGAGGGCTTCGATGTGATGAATGTTGATGTGAAGATTGACACATGCTGGGTGTTCCGGGATGTGGAGGAGAGCAGTGAGGAACAGGAGGAACAGGGATGCCTTCCAGAAGCAGCAACCGGCAGCCCAGATGTGGACACAGGGCTACTCAGGAAGCAGCTGGAATCCTCGGAGCAGACGCTGTTGGCAGCCGTGGACAAGTACATGATGTCTGAGTCGGGGCTGCGGAACAGGTGGGTGTGCCCTTGTGAGCCATCCAGTGCCGGGCTGACAAATCCGGGGCCATCTCCCTTATTACCATGGTGTGTTGAATCCTGTCTCCAGCTGAGGTCCCAAGCTCAGCAAAGGTGCAGAACTGGCCTTGGGCAGCCACTTGAGGAGTTTTCCCAGGCTCCTCTGCTCAGCTTCCACCTGGGTCCAGCCAGTAGAAAGCGCGGGCAGGGAGAGGAGGAAGAGCCGGGCGTCTTTCCCTGGCTTCCACTCTGGCCTGTGTGCAGACATATACTTCTTTCCTCTGTGGTCTGAGCGCCTGCTAGATGGCTGGGTCCCAGGCCCTGGTCGCATTTCCTGCCTAGGTGGCCCTCCAGGTGCTGGGACAGACGTGTTTCCGGAGTTCTCTGTCTGGCCTCTCCATCCCCGCTGGCTTGGTATTCGGTACCTTGCACTTGCTTCTCTCTCATGAGCTCCCGGCGTGGGCTTTACTGCCTGGTGGAGCCAACACAGACCGAGGGTAGCGCTTGAACCCAAGCCTTTCTCCAAACCCCATGTTCTTTCACTTTTTCTGGATGGCCCCTCTCCCCGTTTTCTTAATTCTTCTTCCTTCCTGTCCCTCGTTTTCTTCTCTTCCACTCCTGTCTCCTCCTCTTCCCTTCTTCTTTCCTTTTGGGATGCTGGGGATGGAACCCAGGGCCTTGCAGGTGCTAGACAAGAACTGTGCCCCCCAGCCATACCCCTGCTCTCCCAATGATTTCTTTACTTCTCTCCTTCCTTCTCTCCTTCCTTCTCTCCTTCCTTCTCTCCTTCCTTCCTTCCTCCTTCCTTCCCTCCTTCCCTCCTTCCTTCCTTCCTTCCTTCCTTTCTTTCTCCTTCCTTCCTTTTCTTTTTCTTTCTCTCCCTCCCTCCTTCCCTCCTTCCCTTCTTGCCTTCTTTCCTTTTTCTTGAAAAGAAGGACTTACTCTGGCCCACTCTTTTGGAGGTTTTGGTCATGGTCAGCTGGCTGTGTTGCTTTAGGCTTGTGGCAAGGTGGGAATATCATATCCTTCCTTCCTTCCTTCCTTTCTTTCTCCTTCCTTCCTTTTCTTTTTCTTTCTCTCCCTCCCTCCTTCCCTCCTTCCCTTCTTGCCTTCTTTCCTTTTTCTTGAAAAGAAGGACTTACTCTGGCCCACTCTTTTGGAGGTTTTGGTCATGGTCAGCTGGCTGTGTTGCTTTAGGCTTGTGGCAAGGTGGGAATATCATAGAGGAATGGTGTGGAGGGATGCTGTTTCCCTCATGGTGGTCAGGAGGCAGAGGGGAGTGCCTGGCAGTTTCTTGGTACCTTGTGTGTTAGTGAATTTTTCTGTCACTATGACAAAATACCAAGTAAGCGCATTAAAGGAGGGAGGGCTCATTTGAGCTCACAGTTTGAGATTTCCTAGTGTTGCTGATCTGTTTATTGATTTGGGACCCATGGTGAAAAAGAGCATGTTAGTGGAAGCATGTGGCAGAGCAAAGCTGCTTGCTTCCTAGAAGCCAGGGAGCAGAGAGAGGAAAGAGCAAGGCACAAGATCTGTCCTTCAGAGGCACACACCAGGGACCCATGTCCTCTACCCAGGCTTCACCTCTTAGTTTCTGTAACTTCTCATAACATCATCAGATTCATCAACTGATCCATCCACTAATGAAGCCAGAGCCCTCAGGATCTGATCACTTCCCCAAAGCCCCTTCATTTGGTGGCCAGTCCTTTAACATAAAGCCTGAGAGGGGGACATATCAGATTCGAGGCACAGCACCTTGGTCAGCAGAATGAGGCCAGGGCACTCCCTAGAGGACAACCCCAGGGAGGAAATATGGTCCAGTTAGGCCTAGGTCCGGTCCATTCTGACGGGTACCCTAACATCTGAACAGCCAACCCTGGGTTTTTGTAGGACTTGCCCACTTTGGAGCGTTTGCCTTCATTTCAGTAAAGACAAGCCACTTATTGTGAATTTACCTGTGACTTACCATTTGAAGAAGTTCACACGTCAGCAATATTCTGTTTCTCAGCTCTGTGATCTGTCTCCCTGTTCACTGTGTACCTGAGTCCCACGCTACCTGGTGTCAGACTGCCTGTGCTACTGTGACATGTTGCCACAGGCTGAGTGACATAGCAGAAATTGATTTCCTCAAATTTCTGGAGGTCAGATGTCCAAGGTCAACGGGTAGTTCCTTGAAAGACCTCAGCTTAGCTAGCAGAGATATATCCCAGTGTCTTCAAACTGTCACCCCTGTGTCAGTGTCCACTTCCCCTCTTCTTATAAGGACACCAGTGGGAGCTGATGAGAGCTCCCTCCCATCTGCCCTGTTTCCACACACATATTGTGAAGTCTCAGGAGTGAAGATGTCACAATATGAGTGAGGACACAGCATCAGCTTTTACTGTGGTCCAGGGGCTAAGAAACGGGGAGGCAGGTCTGGCTCCCAGGGACCAGCAGGGTAACCCAACAAGGAGCTGCATTTAAAGCTTCCTCCAAAAAAGAAGTAAAGACCCCAGGTCAGAGGGCCACAAGAGAGTGGTGAGGGCGTCCATGGAGGCAGAGGGCCTTAGGTGCCCCATGGGCATTGCAGAGGAGGCACCTTTGCAGCTGGGGCAGGGTGAGGCTACCTAGAGGGGAATGTGGACTACGTGCTCTGTTCTCTTTGAAGATGGGGTACACATCTTGTAGGAGAGGGCCAGGGTATAGGGAGACAGGATCTGTGGCAGGGGTGAAGGAGAAAAGGGACCACTTGGTCTTCTGAGCTGGCCCTACTCTGACTCTCTTATGCCTTGTGATGTACAGAGAGTTATTATCCCATTTTCCAGATGGAGGAACTGAGGCTGAGAGAGTGAATCAGGGAAGTAAAAGAGTGAATCAGATTGGAAGTAGAGTCTGGATATCCCTGTAGAAGTGCAGATGCCCAGTTGACTTACCCAGGGGGCCTGTTCCACCAGAGAACATTGAGTAGCTGGGTGCATGCACTAGACTTATTGCAACCACAGAGTGAACATGCTTAGGGAGATGGTTAAGTGGGTGAAGAAGCTTGCCGCCAAACCTGACCGCCTGAGTTCGATCCTTGGACCAATGTGGTGGAAGGAGAAAACCAACTTCCTCCAAGTTGTCCTCTGACCTCCATGCACGCAGCCCACCAAAAATAAATAAATAAAAAACACGGTGGGTATGCCTGAGGGATGACCCTGAGGTTGTCCTCTGGCCTCCACCAAATAAAATAATAGTAATAAAGTTAAAAATAAAATAGTCAATAACAAAAGTATTTAGTACAGAAATAATGCAAAGCAAGGTGTAGTGGCTCACACCTGGAATCCCATCACTGGGGAGTATGAAGCAGGAGGATTACCATGAGTTTTGAGGCTAGCCTGGGTGACAGAGTGAGACTGTTTCATAAAACAAAAAATTAAAGTTACTAAATGAAATATAAAATAAAAATAGTGCAGCACTGTGAGAAAAACTGAAGAAGAAAACGCCCACCCCGTCTCACCTGACCGTGTGATTCACTCGCCGCCCTTGTCAGCGGAACCTGGCTCCACAGCGTTCGCGGGCGATTCCGTAAATGAAAATAAGGTCAGAGCATTCTGTCCATTTTATGAAGGAAACACCAAGCCCTGAGTAATTATGTAACTGAGGCCCATCAGTCTGACCAGGACGGCAGGACTTGATGGAAGGTGCCCGGGGTTCAGTCTGGGGCCACTGTGGGTGTCACGTGTCCTGCTGGGTGGCGTACCTTCTCAGTACGTGTTCCCCACATTACGAGCCTCCTGTACTTACTTGCCTGTTTGATGTTCCTGAGCATGGGGCTGTCCTATGGCTGCTGGGACAAATCACACAAACTTGGGAGCTTCTCTGGGGAATGGTGGTGGTGGGGATTTGAGGGAGGACCTCACGTAGCCCACACTGACTTCGAACTGGGTATGAAGCCAAGGACGGCCTTAAACTCCTAACCCTTCTGCTTTCTGCCTCCCGAGTGCTGAGACTACTGGGTGCGATGGCCTCTACGCCTGTGAAACTTGCTGGGTTAAAAACAGCCTCGTGGGGCTGGAGAGATGGCTCAGCAGTTAAGAGCACTGGCTGCTCTTGCAGAGGACCTGGGTTCAGTTCCCAACACCCACATGGTGGCTAACAACCATCTGTAACTCCAGTTCCAGGGGATCTGGTGCCCTTTTTTGGCCTCTGCAGGCATTGCACACTCATGGTGCACTTACATATGTGCAGGCAGAATGCTCACACACAAAATAAAAAAATAAAAATTTAAAAACAAAAGAAAAACAAAACAGTTTTGGGATAGATGCGATGCCTTAGCCTGTAAAGTGTCTGCCATGCAAACACTAGGACTTGAATTTGGATCCCCAACACTCAGGTAAAAACCAGGCATGGTGGAATACACCTGTAACCATAGTGCTGTGAGGTCAGAGGTAATGGGATCACCAAAACTCATTGGTCAGCCAGACTACCCAATCAGTGAAGGCACAGTGAGATACCTTGTATCAATCAATCAATCAATCAATCAATCAATCAATCAATCAATCAATCATAAGGTAGAGAGTGATGAAGATGCCCCATCTCCACCTCTGGCCTATACAAACGTGCAGGCATGCAAACATAGCGCACACACACATACACACACACACACACACACACACACACACACACACACACACACACACACATTGTCTATAACACAAAACACACACACACACACACACACACACACACACACACACATTGTTTCTAAAACAAAAAGCAAACAAAAACAAAAACAAAAACAACCAGTCTCAGTTGATTGACCGGCTCTGGAGGCTGGAGTTGGGACCTGGATCTCTTAGCTCGGCTTTCTCCAGCCAGCCACCCTGGGGACTCTGATCCCCTCCCCCCGCCCGGCCCCATGCTCTACCACAGAGCTCTACTCCTTGGCTCCCAATCCAGCCCCAAGCCCACAGTAAACGCAATGCCTCAGTGCCCCACCAGATCTCATCCCTACAGTCAACTCCGCTTAGGGCTCTTTCTGGCGAGTCAGAGGCCACATGATGGTGAGAACCTATCTCATCTACCAGACATGATTTCACCAGCCCTGCAGCCTCTGTGCACATTAAGGTGGCATCTGGACCTGCGTGTATTTGGAGTCACGATTCAGCTGCCACACCAAAACTGGTCTTTCCTTGCTGAGTTCAAGTGCAGGAATAATATCAGAAGTAGATGCTGTCCTGAGCTCAGGACCTGGGTTGAGCCCTGAAACTAAAGGTGTTTTCTTTCCCTTTTGGCTCTCAGATCATCTCAGAAGTAGCTAGAGGGTACCAGTCCAGCCTCATGACTGATTAGCTGGGGTCCCTCCTCTGGTCAGCTTGGAAGGACTTGCTGATTACCCACATGGGATCAGGGAACCCTCCCCCAAGGCCTGAGAACTAGACTCGGAGAGGAGGCTCTTGGTTTTGTTTTTAACAGTTAAGCATCCTTCTCTTTACTCTTCACGATACCCTGTGAGTGAGGTATAGTTAGCTGTAGCTGACAGATGGCCCCAAGAGTCATAGTGTGAACTAGCCCAGTTAGGCCCCCATGGCTGGTAAAGACAGAGGCAGGAGGCAAAGCCTGTCTCACCAGTAGAGCAGGGTCTGAGCTTGACAAGAAGATCACCCACTGGTCTTGGGAAAAGGAACAAGAATGTGGGGAGGTGGCCAGTGGAGATCGCAGCACACTCTACCTAGCATGGAGGTTAGACTAGGGTTAAGGGGAGGTGGAAGCTTCCAGGCTTGCGGTGCCTCTGGTGGGAGTGTTGCTCAGATTTCCCCATTATCCTGTGTATGTCCATCTTCCACTTAGAGTTCTCTCCCTCCCAGCCAGGTACAGCCCCTGCGTGTCACACAGCCTGGGTGCTTCTGTGGGGACAGCATGGAGTTCTGTGCTGCTCGGCTGCTCCCAACATCTCATGTGGACATGCGGACCACAGACATGGGCTTTTTTCCATTGCAGAAACCTTTTCACTTTCACTCACTTCCTTAGAAGAGACCGTAAGAATGAAGCCAGAGTGGGAGACAGCACAGAATGGGATGAAAACCAGGCTGGACTCCAGCATCTACCTCTCTGGGCCGCAGTCTCCTGCCATGCAAATGACCCCTACCTTGTTACTTAGAGGCTGGTAAAGCTGTGAGGATTAGTCGGATGGCAGATGAAGCTCTTTGCTATATGACCCCTGTTCCCTCACTTCTGGAATTGTCTAGATGTGGGTTGCTGGCTTAGGAAAGAAATGCTTAAGACTGATTTCTGTGACATGCATGCGTACGTGTGTGTGTGTGTGTGTGTGTGTGTGTGTGTGTATGTGTATGTGTGTATATGTGTGGGTGTGGGTCTTGTGTGTATCTATGTGTGTGTATCTATACCTGTGTTTGTCTTTGTGTATGGTGCATACATGTGGATGCAGTATGTGCATTCCTGCATACCCATCTGCACCTCTGCAGAGGCCAGAGCAGGATGTCAGGTGTGTTCTTCCATTGCCCACTACCTGTCATTGAGACAGGGTCTCTCACTGAACCTGAAGCAGAACATTTCGGCTAGACCGCTTGGCCCATGAGCTCCCAGCATCCACCTGACTCTGTTACCCTTCCCCCAGTGTTGGGGTTACTGGCACACGCAGCTATGCCCAGATGTTATGTGGGTGCTGGGAATTTGAACTGAGGTCTTCATGCTTGCAGAGAAGTGTTCTTACCCATCTAGCCCTCTCCCTGGCCCTGCAGGTGAGGACTTGGAAGTGGAGCAGAGATTCTCTAGAAAGACAGGCACAGAGGCTTATGTCTGCAATCCCAGCGTTCAGGAGGCCCAGGGAGGATTGCTGTGAATTTGATACCAACCTGGACCAGCCTGGGCTACATGAGAGCCTGCACTGATGAAATGTGGGTTTTAGCACAACTGGGCCAGATGGCAGGGGAAAAGCAGTTACATGACTGTACAGAGAACCCTTGGACTGTGTTTCCACCCCCTGAACAAGCGCCCCCTGATTCTGGTCCCACAGAGTCCAGGAGCTGGAGCTGTCGGAGAGGAGGCTGATCCTGAAGGTGGACCAGCTGACCGCCTGTGTGGCCCAGGAACGAAGCGCCTCCCTCCATGTGCAGGAGCAGCTGCAGGCATTGCAGGGGGAGCTGGCCAGCCGGGTTCGTGTCCCTTCCACTTCCCAGTGCCTAGTCATATGGCTACCCTGGGCCTCAGTTTCCTTGTCTATAAAATGGGATCCCAGTTCTGACCTCCCTCTGCCTGCCTCCAAGGTCCCAGGGGTGTAAATGCACTGGGCTCTTCTCAGAGGCCCGTTGCGGTGGCCTTTGTGTCTGAGGCCCTCAGGGCCAGGCCACAGCCTGAGGAGAGGAGATGGCTGATGCAGTTGCTGCATGTAGGTAGGGATGGACAAAAGACAAGAAACTCTAAAGCTGGTCCTGGGGACGGGAGGGGTGTGGGCACACTGTGATGTGATGGGAAGAAGAGACCTCAGGAGGTGGGGCCAGGGCGTCAGGTCTTGTTGGGAAGGGTGTTTGAGGAGTGGGAGCAGCATGTGTAGACACCCAGCTGTGGAAGGCCAGAGAGCAGAGGTGTGTGCAGGAGCAGGTGGAGGGAGGTGGAGGCAGGAACCAAAGGGGCTATTGCACAGATGGGCTTCCGGGGATGGGAGGCAGTGTTAGGAAGCCCCAGGGGGAAGGCCTGGGCTTTGAGGATTATATGTGGTATAATTCTTACAGTGTAGGGGAGAGAGGACGGCAGGCCCAGCACGAGTTAGATGACTCTGGGGAGGCAAACCCTGGCTCTACCACCAAACTGACTATGACATTGGGCAAGTAACTTAACTTCTCTGGACCTGTTTCCTCATATGTGAAATGGGAATAGCTTAGTACCTATCACCTCAGGTTGTCAAATGGGTTAATACATATAGAATATTCAGAGCAATAGGCATCTTAATAGTGTCATCTGCATCTAAAATTCTTTTTTTTTTTTAAAAAAAAGGAAAGCCAGAGTTTATTGGGAAGAGAGGTTAACCGATTTAAAGATTTATTTATTTTCATTTTGTGCACATGAGTGTTTTGCCTGCACATGTGTACATGTACCATACAGAGGCAGGAAGAGGGTATCTGAGTCCTGGAGCTAGAGTCACAAATGGTTGTGAGCCACTATGTGGGTGCTGGGAGCCAAAGCTCTGCAAGAGGAAGCCCTCTTACCCACTGGGCCATCTTTCTAGCCCCAATTTACAGTTCTTGTTAATCATAGACAAGGGGAGAGATGGTGACAGTGAGAGGGCAGGCCGCATGGAGGAAGACCGGGGGTGCCGAGGCACCCAGTGGTCTCCGGGCTCTGAGCTTCAGAGCTTGCTGTTTAGAACAGCCCAGGGATTTTCAGATGGCTTGGTATAGTCAGTCTGGGGGATATGAACTCAATCAGCCTTTTTGAATGTAGTAAAGCAGGCAATATGAGCGGGCAGCCATGTATCAAGGGAGGAGCACAACTGTCTGTCTGTCTGTCTGTCTGTCTGTCTGTCTGTCTGTCTGTTGTGCTTGTGTGGGGAATAGGTGACCGTGATGTGTATCCTGACAATGGGCAGCCTCAGAACAGCCTGGAGGCCATGGCACAGCATCAACTGACAGAAATGCAGGGTAGGGAAGTGAAAGAGTCCAGCTCAGCTCAACTCAGTCCTTGGGGGCCAAGGGGATGGCCATGTGGCGCTCTTCTCTTTCCACTGTCCTCAGAGGCAGAGTCTGGTTAACTCTGCTCCTTGGCTCACAGCCCTCATCCTTGTACTCTAAGGGCGTATTTCTAGTGGGGTACAGCCTGTGGTGGCACTCTGAATCTGGGCAGTGGTTTCTCTGAGGAAGACACTATAAGGGTTTTTGAGCTGTGCTTGGTACTCAAACATGGGACTCCCCCAGAGGAGTCAGGTCCAGTCAATGTGGGGGGAGGGGTGGTGAATGCTCACAGTGCAACTGGAGATGAAGGGAAAAGGAGACATGCAAGCTAAATGCATTAGTGGGGTGAGAGAGGTGCCACTGGGGGTGCAGCATGGGGCTGTGCCCTCTCCACATGCTTCCTTATGTTCATTGCTGTCTTGTGTGACGTGGTTGTATGTAGACAGACCTGCCAAGAAACACCATTTGCAGATTTGGTGGTTTGGTCAGGGTTCTACTTGGCTCAGCTATAGCCTAGCCCCCGACCTTGACCTCTAGGCTGAGCTTGTCCTCTATGCTGTTGCTGAGGCCCTCTGGATGTGGAAGTAAGCTTTGCAGGGGTACATGACTGAGTTTTCTGTGTCTTTTGTGCCTGATCCGTCAGAGATGACAGCTTTGCTTGGCTCTGGCCGAATTCCTGAGCTCTTGAGAGCTGTCAAAGGCCCTCCCTCCAAGACCCTGGAGCACCAGGGACCCTGAGCCGTGCAGAGTGCAGAATTTATTTACATCGCTATAAAGTCAGGAGAACTTTACTTCCAGGAACCCCACTCCACTTTTGACCCCCACCCCCCTGTAAAGTCCCCAGGAAGCCAGCCTGAGCTGGACCTGAGCTTGCTTTCTCTTTTACCACCTTCTTTCATCTACAGCCCTCAGGACAGCAGGTAGTAGGTGACAGACAGCGCGATTCTGAATGCCAGGCAAGGACGCCCAGTTTTCAGGGTGGTGTTGTGCCCCAGTCCAGCTCACTGTATGTGGTGTGAGGAGAGACGAGGAGTCAGAACAGGGAGAGGTATTGGAGCCATAGGTGGCCAAATGGGCAGAGGAAAAGGCCTTGAGTCATACACAGGGTTTCTGTGCTGTGCCAGAGCTGGCTGCAAGAATTTTAGCCTTCACATTATCCAGATCACTTCTAAATGCGTGATGGGGCTAAGGACAACCCTACCTCTAGGGGGAGCCTTCACAGTTACTGGTCCCAGCCCTGCCCAGACCCATGCACCCTTCCAAGGACTAGGGTGCTCATAGGGGTGTTCAAGTCAAACTAGGGTGAAATGAAGGTGACTTTTGGCTCTAGTGCAAAATGTGAGAGGCAAAAAAAAAACCCCTCAATAATCAGCATAACTTAAAAAATGTGTATAAGTGTATTATCTGCGTGCATGTAAGTGAATCCCGGTTGTGCAATGCCTGAGAGGTCAGAAGAGGACATCCAAGTGAAATAGTGTTAATGGAGGGTTGTTAACCACCATGAGGGTGCTGGGAATCAAACCCGAGTCCTCCACAAGAGCAGACAATGCTCTTAACCACTGAGCCATTTCTCCAGCCCCAGCATCTTTTTAAAAACATTTATTTGCTTGTTTATTTATTGCGTGTGCCACGATACGGGTAGAGGTTAGGGGACAACTAGTGGGAGTTGGTTCTCTCCTTCCACCTCGTGGGTCTGGAGGCTCGAGCTCAGCTGATCAGGCCTGGTGGCAAGCACCTTACCCACTGAGCCATCTCTCTGGCCCCAGGATAACATCTTTTATTATTTCTGATGCAGTATCTTGAAGATGCAAAAAATTGATGCAAAACACGCACCATGCCCAAAACATGGAAATGTCAGGGAAAGAAATCGAGATGAGCAACGGTGCGTTCTCGGCGCTCCCTGACGTCCTCATCACCTCAACTCTAGGTGCGGGAAGCGGAGAGGTGGCAGAGGTGGCGGCACTGGCGGCTGCGGGAGCGGCTGCAGAGCAAGGACGAGGCTCTGGCGCAGCAGGCGGCGGCCTTGGAGCGCTGCAGACGGACGCAGCGGCAGCAGCTGGGCCTAGTGCGCGAGCAGGAGTTTGTCCTGCGGGTGCAAGTGCAGCAGTTGGAGCGCGACGTGCGGCGGCTGGGTTGCGCTGCGGGCCTCCTGCTGGCCCAGCTGGACCGCGTGGACCCATCGCCCGGCTCCAGCAGCCACCAGCCGCAGGTCTGGGCCTGTCCCCGGGGTGTCCGGGAGGCAGAGGCGGCGCGAAGGCTGCGGGAGCAGCGACTGCGGGAGCAGCTGGAGGAGCTGCGCTGCTGCGTGTACGGGCTGACGCTGTCCGACATCGGCCTGCACCGCCAGCTGGAGGAGCTTGCAGAGCAAAACCGGTGCCTGCAGGCCCAGCTGGAAGCCCAGGTCCCCACGGAGCAGCACTGTAGCCTGGTAAGTGGCGGGAATCCAGGGCAGGAGGGACTGCTGCCTCTCCCCCGACTCTCTTGTCCGGCCATTTGGCCAGGTCATCGGACTGACCGTTCATCCTTTACCATACCCAGTTGTAGCCCATACACATAAGGTCACATAAGGTCACCACCACCTTCAACACATTTGCTCACCACCTGTCTGGCCACCTACTCATCTGCCAGCGGCCAGCCACCTGCATATCCACCCACCAGTCCATGTACTTACAGACCCCCATGTCCTGCCCCTGTCTGTTTACCCTACTGTTTGCCTGTTTACCCACTTGCCATCCTTCCCTCACCACCATTGTGGTTTGAATGTGAAATGTCCCCCACAGTCCCCTGTGTGTGCACACTTGGTCCCCAGCTGTTGGTTCTGTTTGGAGAAGTTGAACCTCTGGGTCTGACAGGTCTGTGCAACCTGAGGTCCTTAAGCTGTATGCCATCCAGGACAGCCGAGAGTGTGGCCTAATACGAAGTCTTAAACCTGGGGTTGGAGAGATGGCTCAGCAGCTAAGAACACTTGGCTGTTCTTCTGAGGACTCAGGTTTGGATCCCAGCACCCACATGGTGGCTGACACCCGTCTGTGACTCCAGTTCTGGGAAATCTGATGCCTTCTTCTGGCCTCCTCTGGCATTGCACAACATAGGTTCACTTAGATACATGCAGGTGGGCATTGCATGACAGGGTGTACTTACATCCATGCAGGCAAAACATTTATACACATAAAGAAAATAAATAAAATCTTAAAGTTACTTAAAACATCATGAGATTAAAAAACCCCTCAATTGCACTACCTATTCAATTGCACTTGGTAGGTGAAAACATGAAGTCTACATGTCAGAAGCTTAGACACACCTGCTGGGAGGGGGACCTAACTGGAGGGCACGGCTTGAAGTTATAGCCTGGGGCTTCGGCCCACTGGAACTCTGCTTCCTGAACCCTCAGAGAAGTGGGGGAGTGGAATTCAAACTCCATCCCACACTGCTCCCAGCCCCTGTGCATTTCCTGCCTTGATGGGCTATAGTCTCTAAATGAGGAGCTTTAAGTCTTTTTTAGCCAGGGATTTTATCACAAAGATAGGAAAGGTAACTAAGACACCTACCCCCAGCACTATTCCAGCCTTCCACATACCCACCTGCCCAACCACCTATCTACCCATGGGTTCCAGCTATTACCATGGACCCGGAAGATGGAAGGCTTGTAAACAACAGGCAATCCCTCAACACACTTCTGGAGCCTAAAGTCCACCCACAGAGCCAGTGACACAGTCCCCATTTGTAGACGGTGCCTCATGGCTGAGTTCTCACATGGTTAAAGGGGCATGTGTCTCTCTAGGACCTCTTCAATGAGAGTGCTAATCCCATCCATGAAAGGGTCCATTCCCACTTAATCACTCCAACCCCCTTACCTCCTGCCTTGGTGATTAGATTTCAACAGACAATTTGGGGGCAGAACCAAACATTCTAACCCCAGCAGCCATCTGTCCACTGTCACTGTTAGGGTTCGAGAATTGAGAATAATTTTCACAGATACCCAAAAAGATTATACAAAAGTTTATTTAAGAATTTAAAGAAAAAAGACAATAATCAAATGGCGGCTAACTGGGCACAGACTTCACGAGCCAAAGATGGAGTCTGGCCCTGAACAATAGCAGGCAGGAGCTTTTACTGGGGAACTCCACAGAAACCTGCGCGCACGCCAAGCATAGAGTCAGAAGTTTTTGTTCATACCTTATAAGGCTTTTACATGTACAATATGCCTGAGCTTGTCTGGGCTTGTCTAAAGAAGTTAGCCAAAATGGAGTCAGAGCATTCTGGCTCCTCATCCCCCCCCTAGAGTTATGACAAGGGTTAAATCTTTAAGCCAAGCAAATTATAGAAGCAGAAAGGAGTGGTTAGACGGCGCGTTTAGGGTGGAGGAACCATTTCTATATTGTCGTAAGGCTCAGGGTCTCGATTTAAATGAGTATACTGTGAATGCAGTACCATCAGTTGTACTGTCTGTATCCGTTCTTGGATGAATTTGAACAAGGCATTAAGAATACAGGGGCCACAATGACTGCTAGTAGGAGTAAGAGGAGAGGTCTGACTATTGCTGAGATCAAAGTTGTTATCCACGGGGACCAGTCAAATAGGGATTCGTATCAGTTTTGTTGATTTAGTCATTAGTTTTCTCTTTCCTTAAGTCTTTTACGGACCTCAGCCAAAGACTGTTTTATAACTCCTGAGTGTTTAACATAGAAACAGCACTGTTCCCTAGGGCAACAGAGAGTCCTCCTTTCTCTAGAAAAAGTAAATCCAGCCCTCTCCTATTTTGTAAGGTTACCTCAGCTAAAGAGGATAGAGAGTCTTCAAGGTGGCGGATAGATGTTTCTAATGATTGTATGTCTAAGTCTATGACCTATCTAAGAAGGTGATAATTTGTATCCTGGAGGACTAGCACTGAAGGCCCCAGACCAGTTGCAGTGGTTACTCCAACCCCAAGTAGAGTAGACAAGACAACTGCAGTGGTTCCTATGGCCCTATGAGGTCTAGACTCTTCTGAGACTCTGGTTTCCATTTCTATGTCTGTTCTATAATATAGATGGGGAACCAGCTGCACTAGTACACAAAAATCCCCAGTCTGGTTTAAATGGAGGAGGGGAGAGGTACAAGCCCACCAAGTGGAGTTGGCGGGGCACCATATAAGGGTTAGGTGCAGTAGCCCCTATCTCTTGAACAGAGTTACATAGATGCTGGTAAGAAGGGGGGACAATTTATGTGAGGGAGTCAGGCATAGCATTTTTTTATACACTTGGGTAAAGGTAAGCAGCCTTTTCCCTGTAGGTGGGGGAATTTTACAGGCAGTGGGGTCAGAAGTGACAACATAATTTTCTGGGAGAGCTAACCCATCATAAAAGGGAGGGCTTGGGTCCATGTAAAACCAGCAATGGATAGTAAGGTTAGGGAAAGTATTATTTAAAGCAATAAAGGTGGCATTTAGGAGTTTTGTAAGCCCAGGGGATGGCTGCAAGGGCTCTTAGACCCATTGGATCTCTGGGGATGTGGATCTAGGTGTGGGCAAAGTAGCAGTTTTATCCAGTTGGACAATTTGGCTAGGAGCTGGCCTCTCGATAGATTTAAAAATAGTTAAGGCCAGTGTTGGTCGTCTTATAGGCTGTCACACTGTCCAAGCCATCCCCATCTGGGTCCCCAAGACTGGACCCACCTGAAGACGGACTGAAAAAAGTATTCCTGGGTCAGTCCCTGTGGTGTATAACCTGAGGCCCCAAGTTTGCCCATCAATCCAGTTTTGTAAGTTTTTAGGTTCCTTTCCTTTCAGGGTGAAGCTCAAGGAGATAGGGTTGCAGCTAGAGGAGGAACAGGGTCCCTCGAATTGCCTTGATCTGGGTTTTTGCCAAAGGGTTAAGCCCGGGACCACAGTTACCTGGATCAAGTCTGTAGTGATGGGGGCAGCCCAGTTAATATATCCAGTAGACACACAGCTCCATGAAGCACAGAAATAGTCCCCTGGCCCCGCACAGGTATTTCTTTGGTCACCATTGTCACCCAGGCAAACAGAAGTGGTGCTCCTTCATCCTCTTTCGGCTGAGGGGAGACTGGCAACCATAATTTACAGTGCCTGATGGGGTGTACGATTCCCAAGCTCCTTCAAGCAGGTCGCAGACGTAGAATGTAATCTTGGTGAACCAGGCGCCTGGAGGTCCCAGGTGGGAGGAGTTGTTCACTATCTTTCCAGTGAATGTGTTACTAACTACCCAGGTGAGGTTTTGGAGTCCATGAGGGGAGTTAGCTAGGGCAGGCTCTATAAAAAAAAATAAAATAAAAAAGCAACAAGGGTTGTGGTGTGGCAGAGATTTTTAGCTTGAGAGGACTGTCTTTTACCCGTGTGACCTTCCATCTCTTGTCGACTTGGTCTGACCAATCCTCTGATGCAGGCTTTAAATGCGAGTGATGTATCCAGGTCTGGACACCGGCCACCTTAACCACAGTGCGGGTGGTGAGGATCACGATGTGTGGCCCCTTTCATCGAGGTCTGAGGGGCTCCTTGTGGTGCCGTTTCACCCAAACAAGGTCTCCTGTCTTGAATCCGTGCGGTTGGGCTGGTGGCAGTTCATAGATGTGCCTCAGCAAGGGGAAAACGTTGTCTTGTGTAATCTGTAAGGCCTGTAGGGACTTAAGAAATTGGGATTCAGACAAGTCAATTAGCACATCTGAAGGCAGCTTGGGAAGCAAAGGAGGTAGTCAGCCATACATGATTTTATAAGGTGTTAGGCCTTGAGTATTTGGGGTATTTCTGACCCTGTATAGGGCAAAAGGTAGGAGGCCTGTCTAGTCATCACCAGTTTTCAGGGTTAATTTGGTCAAGGTCTCTTTAAGGGTCCGATTTATTCTCTCTACTTGCCCTGAGCTCTGGGGGTGGTATATGCGATGTAACTTCCAATTAGTCCCCAGTGTTTTAATTAACTCTTGAGTTACCTTAAAGATGAAGATTGGTCCATTGTCTGACCCGATCACAGAGGGGAGTCCATACCTTGGTATTAGTTCATCAATGATCTTTTTAATCACCACTGAGTTGGTTTCCCCTTTTATGAGAAACGCTTTGACCCATCCTGAAAATGTATCTACAAAAACTAGGAGATATTTATAGCCATACCTGCCAGGTTTTACCTCAGTGAAGTCCACCTCCCAATGGACTCCAGGCACAGTGCCCATCTCCCTTCTGGCTGGGGGCATGACTTTTCCTCTTGGATTAGTAACCTGGCAGGAATGACATCTGGAAAGTCAGCTCTCAATCATTTTGGTTAGATGGAAGATGTGGTGCAGAGTCAGGAGTTCTTGTAACTTTCTCTTTCCTAGGTGAGTCCCTTTGTAAAGTTTATATATTAAGTCCTCTGCCAGCTTATGTGGCAGAATGAGCCTCCCATCAGAGGCGTATCTCCACCCATGCTTGATCTTGGTATTTTCTAGGGAAGTTAAATC